CACCGCTTGGCGTCTCTGAAATACTATAATGCGACAAGCGAAAGCATGGAGCAAGCAGGTTTTAACCCCTTTTCTGGGACATCAAAACTGCGGAGATCACCTCCAAATACCCCCACGACAACTGGTGTACCCACAGGAGACAAGGCAACCCTGGTCCAAGAAGAGCCCACGTCGGCAGGGGATAGTAATGATGACTCAAAAGTTGATGGAAGACAATTTGGAGATTAACGCACGTCTACAGAGTCAATTAATTATCAGCAGCAGCAACATCCTGAAAAACAACTGTTATAGTGTAGGGCACCTTAGCTATAGCTGTAGAATAGGTGGATGCCCTAAAGAATAGGTGGGAAAACATCAAAGAAGACCAAATGCTGATATACGAGACAATAATCCTCCTAGAGAATGACAAAAAGGCCGAGAATACCAAACTCGGCAAACAGATAAAAGATAAATAGGTGAAAACGTCACAGTATCAGAAGAAGAAGAGACATGCTCCAAGTCCACTTCGAGACAAGAGACCAGACAAGAAAGACAAGCAGGATGAAGTCATAGTGCTGGTTACTGAAAAATCAAACCAAAATTCCGATGAGAACTGGCAGCAAGTGGAACACAAGAAGACGGTGAAGAAAAAGGAGAGTTCCACCAAAGAAGGCAATCAAACCCCTAAGGGAAGGAACCCACTAACCAGGCCATCAAACTGACAGCCAACGAAGGGCAATCGTATGCCGAAATATTAAAAAGAATGACGGAAGCGGTTGACCCGAAGCAACACAACGCTAATATCCAGACGATCAGAGGGACACGTAAAAATGAATTCCTGATAGTCCTGGAGAAAGATTGTGACCCCACTTACCTAAACGAAGCAATCACCCGTGCAATAGGAGACAGGGTAAACATCACTACGTTCATCCCAAAAACCCTAATTGAATTGAGGAACATGGATGAGTTGCTTACCCTAGATGAAGTAGGAGATGCTGTCACACGCATTACGGGGACTTCCCTCCGGCGACCTGGAGGCTATACAAGGTGTACGGAGGCAGGCAGATAGCGACTGCATGGGGATAGTTGTACAAGAATACCTCGAATGCCTTTTGAAAGCATTTAGCCAGTGTCTTGAACAAGGTAAATTCTATAAGGGTTGGAAACATCAGAAGCTAATTCTCCTGCGGAAAGGTAACAAGCCAATCGATCGGACGTCATCGTTCAGGCCATCGGACAGTCTGCTGGATATGATGAGCAAATTACTGGAGGGTTTGCTCCTCCTACAACTAAAGAGACATTTCCAATTTTCAACGAGACAGTTTGGATTTAGAAAGGGACTCTCGACAATACACGCGATCTCAGAAGCAGTCCACCATTCAGAAACAGCAAAAAGGAATAAGAGTTTTTGTGCCTTGGTTGCGATTGACATCAAAATTGCCTTTAATTCTGCCAGCTGGAAAGACATCATACAAGCCCTAATATCTAGGAATATCCCTGAATACCTTGAGATGATCATGGAGGACTACCTCAGTGAGAGGAAAATAATCTACACGAACGGGTATAGGATTGAGGAAGACATGACCTGCGATGTTCCACAGGGATCAAGATTGGGCCCCTTCCTGTGGAATACCCTATATGACGACCTGCTGAATATCGAACTCCCAAAGAACTCCAGACTATTAGACTACGCCGACTACACACTGATTATATGCCATAGTGACAACACGGAACTACTGGAAATGAAGACCAACGAAACACTTCGCAGGGTTAAAAGATGGTTGGACCAAAGAAACCTTGAGATGGCTGTTGACAAGACAGATGCCGTGTTGATTTCAAACCGCAGAGCATTCCGCCCCCGGTGATCCGACTGGGGGAGGAACTTACTGAATGGAAACGGCATATACATACCTGGGTAGGAAATTTATTCACGATTGAGCTTCGGACCCCATATTCTAAAAACAGCAGGAAAAGCTGCAAAGACTGGACCAAATCTCTCCCGACTAATGCTGAACTCAGGAGGTCCCACTGAAAGCAAAAGGAGGTTAATTTCTGCCGTAGTGCACTCAAAATGCTGTATGCCACCCCCAGTGTGGGCAGATGCGCTAGCTAAAGAGTCCATTCAACGGAAATTCACACAGATCCAGAGAAGGATGGATCTAAGGATAATCTCTGGATATCGCACTGTATCCGACAGTGCAGCCTTAGTACTCGCCAGTGTCCCCCCAGTGGACCTTTTAGCCCAGGAAAGGAGGACAATGTACCTGAGGACGACAGCAGACAAACAACAAACCCTGTCAAAAAGACAATTAGACAATATCAAAGCGGAATTGAGAAACCATCTCCTGCACCAGTGGCAAACCCGATGGGACCTGGAGTACAAAGGCAGATGGACACAGCCTCGTCCCTAACATCAAGGATTGGACCAGCAGGAACCATGGCACAATGGACTTCTACTTGACGCAAGCCTTCTCAGGGCATGGGAACTTTCAAGCATATCTATACAGATTTAAAATCGCTGAAAGGCCGATATGCGCACTATGTCATGATGACCACGACACTATGCACACCATATATAGTTGCAAAGCTTGGGAGGAAGAAAGGTGAGACTGCTACCGCAAATTGCGACGGGAATTAACGCCTGCAAACACAGCCTAGACTATGTTGCAATCCAGAGACAACTGGAAAACAGTGCGAGACTTCGTGGCCCACGTACTAAAACGAAAGCCACTACTAAAAACAGAGAGAGCTAAAATACCATAGCGACCATCAGAAGATGAAAGCTCATGCTCTCAGCCAATCTTCTGCGTGAAGTAATGTCTCAACGACGGTCCCGCGCAGAAGATACCATGAAACATGTGAATCGAGGAGGTTAGGTTTTAGTCGGTATGCCACTCTGGAGAGTCCGACATTACCGGAGTTACCGGTATGCGTAACGCATTTCCTCCTCCTCGGCAAAAACAAAACTAACAATTATAATATTATTGTTTAAAATGTTAATAATATTTTGAATATTGAGTGTTTTTAAATGAAAAATATTAATGATGTCTAAACGGAATATCCCGCTATCACCTGGCTCATGTGCCTCTCAACAGAAACAAATTAATTGGTTATAATTATACGTGGTAAATTAGTTCTTTAAGTCGTGGTGAATAGCAGAATTTATTTGTCATATTTTTTTAGAACATACAAGAACATAACTTGTTGAATATAAACATTTCAAATTCATTCAGAAACATTTTCAACGCTGGCTTCACAGTGAATAGTGATTGTATTTGTTCCTAATTTATACTCTCCTCATTTTTCGTTGGTCTACGATCTAAATCTAGGTAACATAAACCAATATATTTGGAGTTTTTGTGTTTTGTGTTCATTGCATGCCTTACCTAAGAACATATCTCACACATCTTATTTTTGTTGAGTATAACTTGCTGCTCAAAATTATATGTCATAATATTTTTAAGTCATTTCCAAACATATTTATTATTTTAGCTTGGGTATTTTATGTATAAATTCATTCAGTTTTAAATGTTTAAATGATGCAGTGAAAGTCTTTTTTAATCTAAGAAATAGTTGGATATTCACACGAATAGAAAGAAAAGTGTCGTTATTATGAGCATTTATACTAGAATTATCTTTGCGCAGTTTTGTTAGAAGTCTTTCAAGTGATGGATGAAGTAACCGCTATCAATCATAATAGAAAATATGTGCTGTAGTAGCACATTGTTTTTTCTTTGAGGGGGAGACAACACGTTAAAATTGGTTCTGCATGAAATTGTAGAATGGACACTTAAATGTACAGTTGCGACTTATGATAAAAATAATACCAACGAGGATGTTGGAACAATTTGGAGTTTTTAGTGACCATTTCACTCATGTACTGAAGAACCAATAATTGTAAAAACGATTTATTCAAATTAAATATTCCTGTGAGCAAAAATCGTCTATTCCCATCAAACTGCGTTTACGAACTTACATTATAAACATTAAAGGATGAAAAGTAGTACATTTTGGATGATTTGATTCATGTTTAATAGTTTTTTATAATTGGTGATATAATTTGTGACCTTTTTTATATACTTTTTAATGATATATTTTAATATATTAATTGTTTATTTTGCTAAATAGTTAGTTATTTTAGAATTAAGGCGGAACATTTTGAATTCATTTTCTTAGTATAATTGAGGCTGTAGCTAGTGGAAGCGCCTATGCTCGAAAACTCTGTTTTGAGAAAAATGCATTGCAACTTTTCGATCATAAAATTCTACATACTGGTCAATTCAATTGTAAATTACATATTTGAGTATATTATAATTATTTTTAAACTAATTTCATATAGAACGTAATTAAATTCTCCTTAATTTCAAACATGTAGTGTAACGAAAATAATGCGTTTTAGGCTCTTCTTCTGGAGAACACTATATTTGTTATTAAAATGACTCACTTTTATCGACATTTCCAGTCAGCACTCCCTGAAAAGCTCACTCTTGAAAACATTTTGGTAAATTTGTTTGCTCTCTTTCTTTAGATACCCATGTAAGACCCGAATATCAGTAACTTTTATCAAATTAAGTGGAATTCTAATGACAGATTGAAGTGCAATGTTTTGGGAACTCCCTCCATGTAACGGAATATTGCTCTACCAACCTAACAAATAGAAATAAATTTATGAAAATTTGCTTGGATATAGATTGAAGTATTCGGCATTTATTTATTAATTCTACGGAGAAAGGGCCCATAAACATATGGGCCCCTCGTGTAGCTACTGCCTCAATTTCCGTGTCTTACATGAAATGATTTCAAGAGGAAATTATGTTGTCATTTTTAATGAAGTGGTGTGTGAAAATTTGAATAGGTATCCTTTATCTTCGCCATTGGAGATTTATTTTTTTATCTGAATTCAATAACGCATTTATTCACGAGATCTGCCTGCTGAATATCAGTCGTTTGTGAGGACTATTCACAATGTTCTCCTCTGCCACCAAACCAGCAGTCGAGGAACAATCAGTCTCACTCACCTTGTTCGTTGCATCTCCGCCATCTCTCCTAGGCCGGTGAAGCCATCCATCTCCCGGCTCTCCCTTTTCCCCTTTGAAGCCCATCTCTCCTTTGAGCCTTTCACCCGGGAAGCCGCGTTCGCCCTTAGGGCCAGGGGGCCCTACCAGCCCGACGCAATGGCCGGAGCTGGGGTCCACAGTGCATATGCCGGGTTCTCCTTTCATTCCGGGAAACCCTGGGGGTCCACGGTAACCCTGTACAAATAGTATATTATAGTAATAGCTGGTTATGCGTCGGTACCCAGTTTGGGATTAAATGGAATATATACCTAAATATAAATAATAATGTTTCAAATGGACTAATGTTTGGAATATTGAGTAAAATAAATGCAGAAAATTAAATTGAAAAATAAAAATAGATAAAGCAAATTACTAAATTACAAAAGTTTAAGTTGCATAAATAAAAGGGCCAAATACTTTAAATTAATATTGGCCAAAGAATAATATTTAGTATCAACTGCACTAAAATAAACTTATATTTCTGTGTTGCTGACATCAATATCCTTAATCCTCATTTACGAAGCAGAAACTTGCAAACGATTGTTTAAATGTTAAACGTAACTTTCGTCTCAATATTATTGTGTTGTGCTGACTAAAATATACTTAAAATCAGAAGACTCATAGGGACTATCTTTAACTTCGAAATATCTTCTGGATTTAAACCAGATCATCTCCTAAATTTGCTTCATCGCTGAAAGTTGAACTAAAAGTTAAAAATAATATATTCTTCTTTTGAGCCAGGACTCTATCCCAATGTCCATACCCCTCTATCATTCTAGTCATTGTCATGTAGTCTTCATCTTTGCTCTTCTTTTAAAACCTGATTGTGCCATCCGAATCTACCTCTGTTGGAAACCATTCACTAAGCTTTCTGGGCCATCTCACGCAATCAAGCTATTTCAGCTAATCAAAGCATTTCATACTTCGTGTGTCCATTTCATCTACAATTGAATTTTGTAGACACTAGAACAATTCATTTCGCTTCATATTCTCTTCATTGCTAATATGTTCTACTTTAGATAATTTATAACTTATTTTTCCAAAAGTCCATTTGTATCATCAGAGTCTCAAAAATCCATTTGTAGACTCATCAGTTTATATCTTTCTCTTTTCTTTAATTTCCAAGTTTCTGATCTATATTGTGCTATACTTCGTATGGAAGGGTCAAAAAGACTTTTCTTAGTAGACGTAAGAGAGCACCTAGTTTAACTTAAGTTCTTGAATAATTATCGAAAATGTCCGATGCCACCAGAGCCCTTATTCTAAAACTGAATTCGTAAACTTTTTGTTTAATACTACGTGAATAAAACAGGCAAAAATGCATAAAGAGCACAATATATACGTTGTTGCCCATTTTTACTACGTGAAGTACACGGACGTAATTTTACGAAATTGTTTTCAGAATTGGGGCTCAAGAATGGGAAGCGCAAAGACAAACGTGGAGAATGTTTTCTTCTCCTGGTTAATTTTGTAAAGTAATGATCGGAGGCCAGCTACGAAGGGGATTGCATTTAAATAAATCTTGTATATAATAATACTTTTTGGTGGTCATTTTTATTCGCAACCTTAATAGTTTTTATCTTTGTCCGTTCAAAAAATTCATGGTACATTTTCGAATATCACTCCAGTTATTCTGAGAAAATAATTTAAAACCCGAGGGTTTTGCTGTTGCATTGCAATCATTTGCGCATGTGTAAACAGTTGTTTTGCATTCTCTTTGGTCTAGTGCTAATGTGTACTCACAGGCGGTCCTGGAAGCCCGTCCGCGCCACTTACGCCCGGAAGTCCCTGGAATGAAAGACCACCAGCAAGTAATCGATTTTTTGTTAGTATGTAGGTATGAGTATATAATGATTATTTATTTATTTAAAACGTATTTTTACATTTCATGTTCGAAAATAATGAAACCAGTGTTTTGTTTACTTGAAGGGCTGAAAAAAAGTGGTATATACTATATAGGGTAATAAAAATTTATTTCCTATATTCAATGGAAAATTTAAATATCATGTTATTATTTCAAAACATCAAAAATGTATTAACTCGGCTGCGGTCCTCAAATTTACTCCTTTGTAAGGTCGTCGAGTCCAAACGGACTCATATAATTTCTATTTCACATCATTTACTTTTCAACGTTTATATTTATTATACATAATAAGAAGTTAAAATTATTCATTGAAATTATAATTAAACGCATTTATTTTATTTTTAATATTGTGCAATAATGTAAATCAGTGGTCACTTGTACAAAATGCATGGTAGTAAATTAATGAATATAAAGCAAAAATAGAAAAGTTGCATTACATACATGTAGTACAAATGTAATTTACATGATTTTTCTTGTAAATATTGCAGTGCATTTTGATACAGTGCAAAGCCATTTTTTGCATACATTGCAACTTTCTTGGCAGATACAACACTTATGTTGGATCTGTCGCAAGAGCGAAAGCAGAATAGTAGCTTTTCATGCCCTTTGTCTGGAGAAATTTTAGCTTTATAGGTTTGTTTTCGCGTTTGTTTCAACGAGAGTGATGTCCTGTTTCAGAAGTTTCTGACCGAACTGGTATTATGTAAAAAAGTTGTGACTTATATTAAGACCCTTAAGATATTTCTAACACAACGTATTTCCCAGATTTTGTTCTTCAGGTTGCTCTACTTGATTGCCAGTGTATGATTGAGCACTCCACATGTAACATTTCATTATCGCAATGAAGCCAAAATTTCCCTCCATATTTGGCATGTGCTGCCAAAACGGACAATTGCCTCGAAAAACGACTAAATATTCACTGATTAGTACATAGAATCCAGGATTATACATTATCGGAAGAGGAAATCACACATCTGAATACTACGTTAAAATATTCGAAAGACTCTTGCAGCGAATGGAGTAGTTGTTCTTAGAACTTCGTTAGCCTATTGCTCGTTAGTAGATTGCCATCAAACCACATATCAGAAGAAAAAAGTCTCAGATAACAGTACGCCCCTTCCTTAGCTGGTTAGTACGAATTTGTCGAGGTATTATATGTTTAACAGCAATTCAACTTGAGAAATGCAACAGGTCCAAATGAACGCGAAGAACTTGAATGTAAAAAAATCATAACTTTGCGTATTGAAAATAAATTATAGGGAAAGATAACAATCAACAATAATAGTCAGGGAGTAACAGAACTAACGTAAAATTTTCTGAAGTTATCCAAGAAATTAACATTTTATTCGGATCGAAATGGATCTAAAGACCACAGCATTGTTAATTCATTAGTATGAATATTTATGTTTCCATTTCAAATCAAAACACACAACAAAATATTAATGAAGATTTCTTCTTCACTGCATCACTTTGTATATATTCTCCACTATTTTCAGTAAATTCATTCAGTTAGCTCTGGCATTTTCTTCGGTCTTAGCGCCAATGTATTCTCACCGTGTTACCCTTTGGTCCTGGAAGTCCAGGCATCCCAGGGGGACCAGGTAAACCATCTCTTCCTGGAAATCCCGTATCTCCTTTACTTCCAAGCAGACCCGGAAGTCCCTGTAATCGAAAGTTATTAGTAAATATTTTCGGCATTTTAGATGAAATATGAGGTAGCAGATGTGTAACGTGAGTTCTGTTTGTTTACATCATTATTTGGCAGAACCTGATCTAATGGGTACATGAGACGTAATTATTTATTGCAATTGCGACGGCCGAGCTCACTTCAATTGAATGCTGGATTATAATGGGAATTATGTACGAAAAAATACAATATTAATAAGCTTCGAATGAGAAAATAATCTCATGTGACTAAACAATAAACTTCAGGGATTCACTCCTTAGAGCTAATATATTCTCATCATGTATTCTTCACCGTCTGGTAATTCAACAATTCGGAATGCTTTTTCAGATTAATGGTGAAGAGGCATGCCCAGTTAAAAATATTTCGAATCCTCATTTGGTATTGTTTAAGAATGGTAGACATATCGTCATTTGAAAAAAATGAATAGAGTCTGTGAATTTTTTTTGTTTATCCTTTGTATGTTCAGTGCTGCAGGTTTAACCTGCTTAGAGTTACAGAATTTTAGGAATCTTCTCATTCAGTGGTTTTCCGGTTTCTCCCCACTTTTATGGTCCTCTGTACAAAGAATGTAACGGGTGTGTATCTCTTTTGGTCACATGTGTAGAAGTGGGGTAAAGTTGGCTTGAAAGCGTCATGTTTCAGAGTCTGTGACTACGGGAAATAATCAATCTCAAAGTATAATCGTGCATCAGATAAAGATAACAACCCAGAGTCCCGATTCCCGTCCCGCACGGGAGAGAGGAGTCAAAAAAACACAAACAACAGCCCACTCTTCGAAGAGACCCGCAAGGGGTCAGGCGAACACGATTTGTACACCAAATGAGACGTTGCATCAGATGTGTTTGGTATTGAATCGAAAGCAAAATTCTACATATTAATAGGAAGCGCGATCTTATTTACATTTTGTGTGAACAATGTGGTAAAGAGAGTGACTGAAAATGGTCTTAAATTGAAGATCGTGGTCCCTGAGCGTGCAGGAACTACTTGAACCACAAATATTTTAGCAATAAATAGTAATAATATATTCTGAAAAAAGTTCAATTTCGAAACACCCGGCCCGTTCTGTGCGGCGCTCTCTGGCGAGCAGCTAAACCTTCAGGGGCATCGCGTGGGGAGTTGTTTCACTGGGCCTACGCACATGTGCAGTTAGTGGGGTGGGGTAGGGTGCCCTGGTGAATGGGCTGGTGGGAGAGCCGCTGCGTCTAGGGGCAGGTCGTCCCAGAGGCGGATCCAGAAAGAAACTTTTTGTCGGGAAGAGAGGCATTTCAGAACGGACTACACAATACAATCTTTGATATGCTTTTTAACTCTTAGCTAGATGTTTAAAAAAGTATACGGGTATATTCATAATGGAAATATTGTTTTGGATGCAAAGATATCTATATACATAATCATAAGTTCCTTGAGGTTGCGCTACAATTTCATGTGCTTGTCGGATGTCACTGTAGTGTATCTGACCGGGACGTCCTAGGGTTCAAGTCCCGCCTGAGGAGGATTTTCGATACTAGCTGCTTAGCTAGGTTGAATTCAGTCGCTGTTTGGAGTAGAATTCTAGCGAACGCCTGCTCTGATCGGTAGTTTTACCGTGATTTCTCTGACCAACACCGGGCAGATGCTGGAGTAGTACCCGCGTAAACGGACCACGAACCGCGCGCGCTCATTCCTTCCTCTTCCTTGTCCTATTCTGATTTATTGCTCACACTGTTACGTGCACTACATCACTACAAATGTCGGGAGGCCGATCGGGAGATTCGAGCTTGTCCCCGCTGGTTGGAGATAACTCCCAATGCCGACGGGCAGGTTGTCGCCGCACTCGCCCTTCAGCGGGGAGATCACCTCCTCACACGATGATGCAAGCGAGACTGGTGATTTCAGCAGTTCACGCTCCCGCCATCTCTCATCACTCGCGCAATTGGAATCGTGTGCTTTTCAAGTTTTCAGCTCCTGTGGAATCTTCGTAATTCTAACCGAGATAAATCTAAACACGAACATACGAACATTTTGATATTTAGAATATTAATAGATATAGTGAACCTTATCTGACAGACCACCTCTCCTTAACAACCGATTTGCCTTAGGACGGACCTGAGACCTCTATATTACATGGAAAGCGTACTACTGTTAATAGACCACAGCTACTCCCATCATTTCAGTTTTAATTATTGTACTTAAACACAGCTGATATAAAAGTGACGTAACGTAACCTTCTTTGAAGAATATCTCGAACGGTAGTATGTTGCCCTGTGACACGCGAGTGTGTGGGTTGCGCTCGGAATGTGAGCCAAGCGCTCACCTAAGAAGCTTGATGTATTGTTTTAATTGTGCGATAAAGTGCGAGCAAAACGAGATTCTGGGGTCTTAACGTGGGGAAATACGTCATGCATATCAAATTGTCATAATGCGTATACACAAAAGCTAGCAAGCGCAGAACAGGGCATAAAGATGCAAAGGTTATTAAGGATACGCGGTGCTACTCAGAGTCAGGTTTTAAAACGTGGCACAAACAAGTATATGACCATTGTATACTACATGCAGATACAGAACATTTAGTTTACCCACTCTCTTCATTCCAATATCCTATCCCCACACTTCTCTAACGAGTTTCCTCTCCTCACTCCCCTCGAACACCGCCCGCTCTCCGCTCCCCACACATCTATCCGCACTCCCCTACCCGCTCTCCGCTCCCCATTCTCTTTTCCCCAATCCCTCTCCCCTTTCTCCTCTCCACACTCCCCTCGTCTCCCTCCCCGCTCTCTTCTCCGCACCTTCCTACCCTCACACTCTTCTTTCCTCACTCCCTTCTCCTCACTCTCCTCCTCTCATTCTGCTCTCGACACACTTCCCTCCTCACTGTCTTGACTCGACTCACATCTCCCCTCACTTATCTTCCCACTCCTCTCCTCTCCCTTATCCCTCCTCCTCAGTCTACTCTTCACATTCCCCTCTAGGCACTCTCCACTCGTTGCTCGCCACTTCCCACTCTCCTCTCCCTTTCTCTGCCCCGAGTGGTTCGCTGCTCCGCTCTGAAATCACTTCGTGTGGTATTCAAATAGTTTTGGTCCGTGTTCGGGGAGCGTTCGTGGTTCGTGCACGAGAAGCGATAGTGCTACGCGTTTTGTTTCAATTTTAATTCTTACTCAACCTAACATTATCACTTGTAGAACATAATATTAATTTGTACAAATTGCATTTTCTCATTTCTTTATACAATTTGGCATTGTCTTCATGTTATTTGTTATGTATTCTTTTTAATGAACGAGTGGTTGGCGGAAGGTTGAAATACGATTCTCAGTGATCCAATCTCTTTATATAGACTTCTTTGTAAATTAGACGGACTGCGCCGTTTTTGCACAATCTCTTGATTGCAGCCTATTAGAAGTTTTTTTTTGTGCCAAGATAAGGATAATCGGAGGGTCGACGTCCGAGCGCTACGAGACGTTGGGATTCCAAGAATCAGAGGTTAAAGGCGATAACTTCAGTTATTTCCCATTCGAAATGACAGAGGCAATTCCCTGAATTTTGAAAACATGTATAGTTTAATCTGCATTACGTTAATAATAATAATAATAATAATAATAATAATGATGATGTTACTAATAATTATGTTCAGGCCACTAAACCTGTTTTACCACCTTCCTGTTTCGTTTCCATCAATTCATAATTATTGATACAACCTCTGTAATTACAATCTTAATTTTGTATTTGTTTAAACAAATTTCTCTCTTTAATATATTTTGTCTCCGTACATCATATGTGTAAAAGTAGATGATGCTTCAAAAATTTCATCTTAGATTAGGTAGCTTGGTGGCTCCTGTAACATCGTTGACCGGAAGGTCTTAGGGTGCAAGTTGTAGCAGAGTTGGGTTTTCGACACGGCTAGTGCAAACTCACTCCCCTTTCAAGGAAAATACTAATACCCAGCTGCTCTAATTTGTAGTTTCCCATGCTTTATCCGATCAATACCAGGTAAATGACGAAGCAACATGCTAACAAAATCGTCATGGGAGCACACACTTTGCCCTTCCTCATCCCACACACTCGTACTCAAACTTGCAGACACTGCCCCACCACATATGCCGGTAGACCAGCGAGAACGAGCAGTTTTCTAGGGGGTGGGGAACCAGGAGGGGAAACAGTCGCTGCTGGGAAACCAGGAGGGGAAACAGTCCCCACAAGCTAAAGCTTAGTTCGGTGCAAGATCTTCGTTCTAATAGCGACGGAACACCGCCTCCTCCCGGGATATAATATGCACTGCACTTACGGGACCAATGACCTAGCAAGTTGACGCACCCGGAAATAATAAATACAGATACACTCGAAAGCGGACATTAAAACAGGAACAAATATTTTCACTCGAAAGACCCAAAAAACGTTCATTTATTTTCTCAGCTAACCAATTTTGGGATGGATTGAATTTGCAAAAACGAATTCACTGTGATAAAACTGTTTTCTTTTTTACCCAGGGCTCAAAACGGAAACTTTCGCACCAGACTTTCAGGTTCAGTTCATTGGGACAGTTACTGCGGTAAATTAATATTTTCATATAAGTAAAGATCATATTTGTGGACTTATCAATGCTTCGGTATGGCAGAGATATGCTATGACAGATCAAAACCGGCTAATTACGTGATTGTTAATCTCGTTTTGCGCTACGCTGAACAAAAATTCTAATAGATGGGGGAAATTCTCGCAAATACGTGTTTGTTTTATGCCCTGGTTTGTACATGGTTGTCAATTATTCTATTGTTGAAATGTTCTCCCTCAAATTTCAACGTACGTTCGTTAAGACATTATCTTGGAATAATTTGATTTACTTGTCCGAGTAATAATTTCGTTTGATACTTCGCAAACGCAGAGACAGAATATTTCTACGCAGTAAAGCCACGCTTAATCTTTGACTGCGGTGGGTTACGTGTAGTTCAGGAGCGCTTAAATCCTAAACAATTAAAATCGGCAACAACGCCCCCACATGTCCGATTTAATTCAAATCACTATTTAAACCCTCCCATTAAGAAGAATAAAGTGTGAAAATTTCTGTAAAATCGGTCAAGTAGTGTTTGTGTCTACAGGTAAAGCACGTACGTACATTCCCTTGTTTTTATTTGTTCATTGTTTCATAGTTGGCTTCTAATTCATCTCATTTGCACCATAATTTCATGATAATGTTTGCTTCATCCTCATTCGCATCTCATCATCACCGCTACAACAACCTAAAGAAACAAAGACCTCAGGTGACCCACCCCTGGGATCATCTGCCCAGTGTTCTGAAACTAAATTGCATTGAGGGTGTGAGAATCCAAAGCCGGAACCAATTTATGCTTGGCTGCCCAAGAGACATCGCGTTCTAGGTATAGTTACCGCACTTCGCCCTGAACGAGGCTGCAGGACATCGCCCAATACGTTGGCTCAGTGTCTAGGACGCATCGTCTCTCGGAGAGCCACGTGGATAAATTACATTGCGTATTTTAAGATTTTCGACAAACCTGAGATACTGAAGAGAATACAATTTACAATTGAAATAAAATTGTACTTTGAAGTGAAAAGAAGAGATAAGGTATTATACAATCATTCTAATGAATTATAGTACGTAATGAACATTGATCTGACTCACTATATGCAATCTGAACACATTAATATTCTTAATTAGAAGGGATAATTATTTTATATTTTTTTACATTAAAGTTTACTTGTTCAATGTTACAAATACTGAAATTAAATATTAACAAAATTTGGGCCCAATATTACTCGTAAACTAGTCCTTATTTATGGTACCACATTTAATAAAAGTTACATTAAAACAATGAATGGTTTCACGGATCGCCTATCAGTCCGGAAGACAATGGATCGATGTAAATAGTTATTTTAAATTGGATAAATAGGTTTTGTAAAATAATTATTATACAGTTAAATTGACTGTACAATCCGAAGAATTATTATTGTTAACACTGGGACCGGAGATTATTTTTGAAACTCGAAAGGCTTCGTACAAAAATGTCAATTCTAATTTTCGTTGAGTTCCATTCTGCCATTGCTCTGAATCTCACCTGCAATTCTCCCGCTGCTGTGTGACTTACGATTATCTCAAGGTGGAGTAATGCCAGTAGGAACCACCTGCAATGTTGGAAAGTACTTCGTTACACAGAAGCAAAGATGACTTATTTCATAGAGTTAGAGTTATTTAGGTCTTTCTTTTCTTCGACTACTGCGACAATTTCATCGCGGCTGCCACTGCATTGACTTTGAACTTGGTGTCAGATGGCGTAACGATTAATGAGTTATGAGAAGTTGGAGCTTACATCGTATTGATATCATGGGCAAAAAGGTGACTCTCAAGGAATCCTTTGGAGCCCTTGCTTTGTCCACCACAAATTTGACCGGGATTTGAACTCCTCAACAGGGAAGTATTCGTCGGACTGGTGACTTGAGTTAAGAATGTTACTAATAAACATATATGTTTAATAGTAATACAAAGTGTAATCAAAAAGTTCCAGGAGTGCGATCGTACAAGTGACGCTAACTCTGCGCAGTAAACGGAACCTCGTACCAATATCTTTCTGTCATGGCCATCTGAAGTTTCATTCATTTCTGACCAGTTGCAACTGTCAACGTTCAGACGAGTGAAGGTTATGTATGTGCTGTGTGTGTGTGTGTGTGTGTGTTATATGTGAAGAAATTGGAAGTTGCATCCATACATCATATTATTTGTAACATGGCAATTCTCAGCATTAAAAAATGAACCGAAAAAGCGTTGAAAATCAATCTGGTACAATATAACTAAAGTATCAGCTACTAATCCCTCCTTTGTAGGAATTTATTGTGTATTTAATTCATTCTTTTTCGCATAACTTTTCATGCATAACATATTGTAGTGTAATTGATTAGGCAAATACACATCAACTAGCGTACCCATGAACTCTTGCATGCGAGACCCTCTTTCATACCGCTCCATTTCCATATTAAGCTCATAATATATATTTTTCTTCAAGACCCTCTTATCATACCTAACCTTTTATATATACTTTATACATATGTAATTGTAATAATTGAGTATATTTTTTTGTAATTGAAGTAATTAGTTTAATGTCGCATACAGTTGCGTCTCTGAACAGGTGACGTAGAATCGAAAAACGCGAAACCAGCCAAATTGTAGTGGAATGTCCAAGAAGATCTCATCCTGTAGATTTTGGTGTGAGAAATGTTTCTTTAAAGCCTTTGATTCCTAATGCCAGTTTTTAAGGCCCTAGATCGCTTCGTTTTGAAGTAATATAACTACTTGTATGTAGACTTCATCAACACTGAGTGTTGAGGGTTGTATTCGTCTTCTTTTTTTAAAGCGAGATATACCAATCACAACCCATACAAAATGAAAGAATGAAAGGGCCTCTTTTACGAAGAAAAACGATTAAACGATGTATAAGAGTACTAAGTACGCTTTATAACAGAAGTTGATTTTGTGTCGAAAACGTACTGTTATTTTGGTAATTATTGTAAGGAACATATTTATATGATTTTGAAAACTCAAATTAGGGTTCAAACAACTTACATAATTGCATTGTTTTAATGGATTATTATTTACACTTAATAATTTTGTATTGATTTTAAAAGAATAAATATTATTTTAAAAGTATTATAATTATAAATAATTATATTAGTACAAATTCGAGAAAACGTAGCGCTTGCAGCTGAACACGCATCCGTCTGGAAGAGGTATGAAGAGGTCGGGTTAAAGGGGTATATCATTGTTAAAATATTATTTTTCTTTTAGTTTTCATGGATTAGTTACAGCACAATCGAAAAACTCCATCGGTACCGTCTTAAATTTCTTTGATATACTCCTGGGGTCAATTCATTATGAACCACTGGGACATTTTTAGGCTTTTGAATCCATTGTGACTTATAATTCGTTCAAATCCGTTATATTTCGCTTGGGTATTATTCATGGAAGGAATGATTTATCGTGCCTATACTACGTATGTTTGACATCTTATTGAAATTGACATTTGATATACGCTAGATACAATGGTTACTTTGTTTGGACTCTTCCCTGTAAAAACGTGAATTCTGAAAGTAAAGAGCAATAGTAACTTTCAAAATATGACCTTCTTCTGTAAGTTAAAGTGCGCTAAATTTTAAACTTTAAGTAGAAACTATGTCGCAGGTTTACGTCCATGTGATAAATGTCCCATTATTCAATCATTCACAACGGGTTGCTGGGGGTTGTATTCAGGGTGGTTTAAAACAGATATTGAATAAGAAAAGGGAAAGACGAATTACAAGGATTATCGTTTGATAACAAAATTACCGTTTGGTGAATTCAGTTACCAACAAATTGCGCTTCAATTGGCCACTTCGTAATGTGGCGTATCCAATATCATTAATAAGGAAATTATTACAAAAACATAAGATAAAAATTGCAATTTCCAAAAGAAACGGAAGGGAAAGCTACCAAATAAGAATTATTGCATATTCAATTGTTAACTCAAGTGAACATTTACAACTACCGGTACACATTTGCTGGATGCAAAGCAGTTTGCAGTGTTAATACTTACCGTGAGACCAGGGGAGTCATGTCTTTGTCTTGCTTCGATACTCGGTTTGCTGGATTGACGTAAGAATCTGATTTATATTACTGGAGCACTAAAAAATCATATGTTAAATTATTTAATAGTATAACAAGAAGCCTACGTCCAATTACTCAGGCACTGCGACATTAGCGCAATAACATTAATTAATACGACAGAGGTGGGTAAACGTCGTCCACCATCATTATCTCCAAGTAATCCGCACAAAATAAAATTGCACTATTACAACACTTGAAATATCACCTGCAGAATTGTCGAAAATAAGGTAGGCAAGAGAAGGGGGCCCAAGGCGCGAAGCGGTGGCTCCCACGAGAACCACTCGTGTGGAGACAAAGATGGCAACTCCTCGCCGCAGGCGGACGCTGATAAGGAACAGGGACTGAGGGAATGAGTAAAATGTAAAAAAACAAATGGTCATCTGGTCCGAACGAACTCAGTCAACTTTGTCGCTTCGTGACCTTTCGTAGCTTTTGGAGTTGCTATCTATTGATTCGTCAGATGCTTCCTGGTTGAAAAGATGCATTGTGCTTCGGATTGGCCTAATGTTTGAGAAGAGTTGTCTGTTGTTCCTCGTATTAGACTCGCAGTTAATGATTTTAAACAAGCGAGGGAAAAAATTATGCAAGTATAGATTACAACTTTGCTTTATAAATAAACAGCTACGATATTTGCATTGTGTGAAATGCGTGGCGAGAACGGTAACGGTCACATGGTTTCATGCGAAACTTGACAATTTCGCGGGAAATGGAAGAGGAGTTGATCTTGCTTAGAGAACATCGTATGATACAATGGTTAAAACCAGTGTTTTGTGACTATCACGCGTTAGTATTCAATATACTTGCTTGTATATCAGTCTTCTGATATCTATGGAGAACATCAAAGAGGAGAGGGAGTTCTGATAGTTGTAGAAATTGTATTTCACACATGTTGTTACATATATTAAGGTAAGATCGATAGCAGAATTTGCGGTTAAAGGTAAAAAAAAATCACGTATGTATGTGTAAAAATCTGGGTTAAATATAAAACGTAATATATATTTATGGATATGCAGAACAATTTGCCTTAACTTTTCTTCAGCACTTCCTTCTGTGCGATGCAATCGGCTGCAGATGGTTCTGCTAGTCTTGATGAACTTGAGAACTGCAGCCGAAGGGGTCCATAAGAACACTAAGAAATGAATATACTTACAATCTGCCGATCAAATACAACGTTTATGCAGTGCTATAAAAACATGCATAATATTCTTATGTTTACGCTTTTATTACCACAATAGCAACAATTGAATAATATACCCCTTTTCATAAATAATTTAAATATAAACAAAGTTGTTCTTGTTCCATTAAATAAACCTTCCTCTTCCTTTGCATGTTTTGGCCAAATTATTTCCTCAATTACAAATGTATCTACCTTAAAAATAAAAAAAACACCACTTGATCTTCCTACATTATTTTCTGCTAACAAAATGTCCCCTCATTTCCTTTGAGAAGCAGATGCCGCAAGCTTGGCCGTTGTGCGATGTTCCATTCCATTTCCGTACTGAAAGCAACTTTCCCCCGCGAACGCTCCATCTGACGCCCTTCCACCACCAAGTCTGCCCGAGCCCTCCTTGTGCCGAGTCGCGCGCTCGTCTCCTGTTTTCCAAACTCGTGTCTTCCTGCCTCTGCCCGCGCACCTGGTCGCTCTCTCGATTGTCGCCTCCGCTCTCATTGGTTACATTTGCATTGAAGCCGTACCTCTTTATTCCTTGAACTACTTAGTTCGTAATAATTTTCTCACGTTTATCACTGTTTACAAGGAAATTGCTCACGTGTCTGTTCTACATTACCTATTCCGCTCCCTATATTTTTCCGCACTACGGATTCTGCTGTATTCCGTCTTTTTTATTTTAATTGTGCACAACGTATTTGTTTATGAGTCTTTTACGCCGTTATTTTCATTGCAGTAATTAATGTTTCTGCAAATATTAATTTAATCTCACAGTCCTTGTTATAATTCATCGCATTAGAGACAGCAGTGCTTCAGTTGAGATATCGCAGCCTCTCCATACTACGCGCGAATAATTTCGTTCCAACCTTCCAAATGTTCGTAACACCATTTTTGAATATATAGAAGTGTTTCATCCTCTTGAAGTTTGTGAAATAATAGTGCCCTTTAAGAAATTGAGTTGCACAGTAGTATTTTCTTTGTGTCTTTCATTATCTGCAAACTTTTAATATTCTCTTTATAATTTCTTTTAAATTCGTCCCTTGAAAGTTGTCTATTGTAAGTTTTCTTTCTCGTAATTAAAGTCTTCTACAAACAGAGCGAAGGTATTTCCCAGAGTTCTCCGAATCACTGTGTGTCTCCTTTTCAAAAATAAACTACAGAATATTAAAAGTAATAAGCAAGACTTTTATCCTTTCTCATGGTATCTTTGCATGCTGGGACATTTCAGAGAAAATTTATTTTCTCAAAAGTAATTGTTTCCTGTAACATGTGAAGTCAAAGTACAGGTTTTGTGGGTTCTTGATTCCGAAACATCAATCCGAAATGTCCGTCTACTTCTCTGTTTGTGATCAACCTAAACCTTTTTTTGAATAATATTTTCAAATGGGTCTCTATTAAATTTGCCGAGCGAATACAAACATGCACTGTTTAACTGGTTTGTTTTATTTTGTTTTCAATGAATGACTGCTTTGTGGGAGGCATTTTCACCTTCTCTTTTTTCTGTCTTCATTTACCTTGTTTAGATAGGTAATATACAACACTTTTAAACGTTCATGAAAATACGAACTTGGCAGTAAAATTCAATTTGTTAATCCCCCCGGAAGCAACATAATTCGCTACTAAACAGATGAATGTCAGTCGAACGCTCCAATTGCAGTTCCAGGCAAGGGCGGAAGAAGGGCGCGAGGTCACTTCAATCGCCGCACCATCAGAAAAGGCCCTCGTCTCACGTCGTTAGGTGAGCGCGTGTCATGCTCGAGTCGGCGGCGCAGCGCATCTGCGTGTGTGTGTATGTGGGGGGGGGGGCGCGGGATCTAGGCGGGTGGGGGGGGGGGCGAGGGGGAACGGGGAGAGTGTGGAGTCGCGGGGGAATTTAGTAAGGGGAGGGGATAAGGAGATGGCGAGCAGCGGCTACGAGGCCAGATGGGCAGGAGACGAGAGGCGGGTGAAGCGGAGGGGTGAGGCGAGAGACCTAAAAAGCAGATCAAGTGATAGTCAGTCTTTACGGACATTTTAACCAAAATATGTATTGCATTGCTCTTTGTAAGTATGATGTTGCCGTGCAACAAATATAGTAGTATTAATTAGTATAATATAATAAATAATAATAATAAAATAATAATATAATAATTATTATTATTATTATTATTATTATTATTATTATTATTATTATAAATTGTATTTAAGTCGATCAGATGGCCGAGATCTCTAAAGCAGTAGTGCCGTAGCGGTGTCGACGAGAAATTGTGGGTTCGAGTCCTGCCTCGACATGGCGTGCGTTTGTGTTGTCAGTATGTTGTTCCGCCTTCATACCTCACTATCATCATTATTTTATCTTCCATACCATAACAGAGCTAAATCCCTGAGGGGGTAAAATTGGATCTAGATAAATGGTGACACCCCTGATAAGATTACATGCACCTGCCACCTATTAATGATTCTGAGCCCCGGTAAATGCATGTGAATGCACGTGTGACCAAGTCGGCCTATCTGCGAGCAAAACAATGTATTACGTTGTATATTAGTAATTTTACTTACATGAAATAATGCAACGAAAGAATATCCCTTTCGCTTGTATAAGAAACCGGGACCCATCTCCATATGTGTTTCCTGCTGGATAGGGCATTCATCAGCACATATAAAACGAGGACATCGGAAGAGTGCTCAGAGAATAAACTGATGACACGCAGTGCCTGGCCCGGAGATTCTAGTGTTTGCATTCCGACCGAGGGCAGGGTTTAAACCAGCGAGAGAGCCTATATCGAATTCAGCCGCCTGTCTGGACGAGAATTCTGTCGGCGGCTGCTCTGATCGGTAGTTTTCCGTGGTTTCCCCATCAGTACTAGGCGAATGCCGGACAGTACCCTATCGAACGGTCACGGCGCCGTTGCCGCGAGTTTCCTTCCTCTTCCTTGTCCTACCCCTCACCCCTAGACACACAGTTACCACTAACACCGCACTTACACGACCACACACACGGGAACCCGTAAGTGACTAAGGGCTGTCCCTGCTGGGGACGTGCCCGCTGGAGGAGATAACCTGGTGGAAAGCCTTCGGCTTTGCCACGGCATGCAGGACGCACTAATCTCACCATCCAGCGGGGAACATCGCCGCGACTCCGGGCGATAAAACATGCACTACACAACGCAATAATTTTAAAATTTAGATTTAGATTTATTAATAATTCGCAATTAAGTGTGGAGAACTTCAGGTGGCAGAATTACATCTACTTAAACTATTACAGAACTTAACAACTATACAAACTCTACACAACGTTACAAATCTTCATGAACATTCACCGTTGCAATCTTTCATACAACTCCACTTCACCAAACTTCACTTCACCACACTTCACCGCACTGCGATATACAGCGAGCGTGTAAGTCTTTCTTACTCACACTAATTTCTCTGCAGTGCACAACCTTCCACTTGCACTTCACGCCACTGCACTGCACTGCAACATAATTAATATAATAATAATAATAATCGAATAATATTACATAATAAATGAAAAAATATGATAATAATAATATAATGCTAATATTAACATTTAATAATAATAATAATAATGAACAACAAATAATAAACTTAATTATTAAAGAAACATAAATTCAAACTGAAATTTATTAAATATATTTACTAACATATCCACATTCAAGAAAACAATTTATTTTTATATTTGCTCAGCTTTGAGGAAAGGGATCGAAGATTTCACAGGCAACTGTTCCAGTCCCTAATAGCTGCGATTCGCGAATGAATATTTCCCAACGTCCGTTTTCTGAATTCTTGTCTGAATTTTGTGCTTGTGATGATAATGACCATATCAATTGACGCTCCCGGAATCAGTAATCCACTAACCAACCAACCAAGACGAGAACAATTTATTTGCAGTTTTTACACAATAGCAGATTACTTCAATATTCATATGATCGTGCATATCTCGAAAACGATGCGATCTATGCCCTTAAAACCAGGAAATCAGGACACGGGTTTTTGGAAACTACTGTGAGACACGCGGAACAGCGCGGGGAAACAATGAGGGCCAGGTGGGAAAATGACGAGGGATGGAACCCGAAGTATATGTAAAATTAAATTCATGAAAAAAAAGCTTTCATGATTATTTCAACGGACTAAAGCTTGTATATTTCTGTCAATTCTGTTGAGAAAGGGTTTCAATATATTCTGCTGAGAAAGGGTTTGCTTAAATTCTATTGGGAATAAATATTAGTTATCTTTTTTATCATCATCATCATCATCATTGTTATTATTATTATTATTATTATTATTATTATTATTATTATTACTATTATTACTATTATTATTCACTTTCAGCTCCTTGCTTCCATGGCCAAGAGTTAGGTCTACGATGTTCCGTCTATCCGAATGCGGCGTGCTCTCTCCCTTCGCGAGCGGCGCGCGTCCGGAGGGCGGCGCTGGCATCCTTGCGGGCGCCAGCGCGAATCCTCTTAGTTTGCGGCTCCGCGCGCCATAACTCGTCCTCTGCAGCGACTCACGCGGGCTAGGGATGACACGGCTCTTGGCAGGGTTCGGCCCGCAAGGTCAGAACTCAGAGGCTGGACGTGCGTGGCGGGCTCGGAATAATACAGGCTTTCCCGCCAACTACACATATGACTTGTAAACAGGGCTCAACAGCAATTAGGAAAGAGGAAAGTAATATACGGGCGGCCATTCGAAATTGTTTGTGGTAACTTAGGAGTGTAGTTTCTCGAGTTCAAGGTCAACAACTTTTTAATGAAGAGGTTCTATTAAAAAAAGATATATTTTTGATAATATATGAAAACTTGTTTCCTATTTGAAACATAACCAATCGACAAAAGTGAAATTTTCAAGATTGTTACTTTTACTATTGTTCCGCCCCCTGCGACGGCAAATGCATCTTCAATCTCCTTCTGCGCTTCTTCTGTAAACGTGACATACGCGATCAGCTAATATTTTTTATCCACAGAACAATATTAAAATAGGGCTTGATGTTACATTTTCGTTTGATGTTACATGTTATTTAAAGGCCCACCTATTGACCAAAATTTAATCATCGAAGGGAGAGAGGAAGTACTAATATTATTCTTTATAAACTTATAATATTATTCTTTTAGTGATATATATATATATACATATATATATATATATATATATATATATATATATATATATATATATATATATATATATATATAATGGATGAAGTGCGTTACCAGGTGGCCGATCTCCATGAGAGTTTGCACATCTACGTGTTTTTCACCTAGAAGGTTTATGAGGTTTATGTAGTGTTTATTTTGTTGTAACTAGAAGGCTCTGAAAAACAAAATTGACGGAGAAAGAAAAGGCCAGAGAGAGGGAGAGAGAGAGAGAGAGAGAGACAGACAGACAGACAGACAGACAGACAGACAGACAGACAGACAGACAGACGAAGGCAGATAGAGAGAAACGGAGAGGGAGAGGGAAGGAGATAGACGAAGATGAAGGACAAAACAACATCTGCCAGCTTCCGCTAGTATATAATACAAATACAGAATGGACTTGTATGCAAGTGTACTGTGTTTCAATGTTTAAAAATGTACTGATATATATGAAGGAAGTTTAGGTAAAACCCTCATCTCAGAACTGTACCCCTTGTTCTACTGAGCACTTCCATATCTGGGCCCTCGCTACTGAGTGCCGGGGAGCCCTAAGTAAGCATATTGCAACCGCCAGCTTCTGCTCCCAGATCGATCGCAAAAATCGTGTTTCGACGCACCGCGATCGTATTTTTTGAGCATTTCTTTCGACCAACTGACACGAGTTTTTTTTTTGAGCGATTGACAAATTGTGTGGGATTCAACGCGAAAAAAATTTTTTGACAGTCAAATGTTCATTCAATATTGAATGCATGCTGGTCCCACTAATGCTTGAAGTTGTCTCAATCTCACGATAGGTCACATGACGATCTTGCAATATCAGTTCACGCACAGCATCAATGGTTTTCGGAACAACAACTGATTTTGGACGACCTTCGCGAAATTCGTCTTGGGGTGAACTACGACCACGATTGAATTCACCGTACCATCGATAAACACTGGTCCTTGATGGAGCTTCATCGCCAAAAATTGAATGAAGTTCATCCATGCACGTTTGCTCTGTTAATCCACGTCGAAAGTTGTAAAAAATAATCGCACGAAAATGTTCACGATTTAATTTCATTTTTGGGCCAAGATGAATCTTTTAAGTAACTGTAAACAACACATATAGCGCTTGTATGTCAAAACGTTCTGAGTAAGTATAACCTCAAAACGTCCAACTTTACGATAGAGTTGTTATTTGCCAGAGTGCAACACCAGGGTTGCCAAATCCCGAAACATAAAAAGGCAATCTTCGTACCTCCCCCACTCGTCTAGCTCCTCCGGATGTCTGAAACGATCTCTGTCTGTCTCTCCACGATTCACCTTCATTCGTCACTCCCCTTTCGTCACGTGTTTTGTGTCGTTAGTTAGATTGGTCCCCCAATCGTGAGTCAGTGTGATTTGTCGATTTATGTATGGTGTATGGTGAATCCCTGATACTGGTCACTGAACTCTTCAAAATGTCTTGCGCCATAAACCCCTCTTCCTGTGATTCCCCCATTCGTCCATGTCGTGCAGGGGGTCACTTGTAGTCATGTACGGGGAGTCCCCCTGCGATTTGCAATGTCACTGGGCGTTTGTCAATATGATGTCGCAGATGAGGACCCTCTGACGGCGCTAAAAGCTTGTACGATCAGTTGGAAAGTTGGTATGTCACAATATTTCAACATCGTCTGAACTACATCTTTTTGACCTTAAAGAAATTAATTTGATCTGACAGTGAGTTATTTTAAACGTCTCTAGTTCTACTCGAATGTGCAAATGCACTGCCGAGCCAAGCTCCCTTGATGGCCGCGCACGAGATAAAATTTAGCTTCTATTGCGTCATGCGTGGTACGTGAACGACGGCAAACTACGGTCCCGGTACTTGCCCGAGAAATGTCTTATTTCAAGAAGCAAAATAAGGGATCACAAGAAGTACAGTTACCAAGATATAACTTATGCGATCGTTTATTTTGTTTTCTTTAAAATGTGTATTAAATGACACACTTGAACTGATTTCGAAGACTTTAAACTTCAAGTCTTTAAGTACAATTGTGCAAACTGCAATACCTTTGAGCTTGTAGATTGTGAGTTGCTCAAATTTTGTGACTAATTCTGTCCATTATGTAATAAACATATTTTGGTTTGTGTTCTGCCATGGTACATACAGATAATTTTACACATTTTCTCCAAAGAAGAATAATTTGTGACCGCTCTTTTCCTTTACTTGTTTCAGAAACTATTGTTCCGTGGACCAAAGCTGTACCAATGTAGCTGTGTCTTCTAGTGAATGTAATCTCTACCGACTCAGACGAGATGGTTGCCACAACCACGCCCACCACAACGGTGAGTGAAGGCCATTTTTCCCTCACCCAACGGTGGCTCTTCAACCCAATTCGACCTTGGGGTGACATACGTTTACTCCCACGCTATGTGGATAACACCATATACTGTTTGCCAATGCTCCCGGAATGGTAAGAGATGCGAAGCCATTTCAATTTTATTGCGACACTGTATGCTACCTGGGGTGGGGAACGGGTTGAGGTGAGAGGGAAGGGACTGGGTACTTTTCGAGTCACGAGCTCTTAATTTAGACCGTTGGGCAGCCTTTTTAGGCATATGGATAGGACCAACCTTCAGCCTATACAAAGGGATTAGATAGGGAGATAAAAGGATAGAGCGCCGAATCTCATCGTCTGTTTCTCATCGTATGTAATGAGTTAGTCAGTTCCACCAGACAGTTTTGCTCTCCAATTCCTGGAAAACGCAACATTTCACCGCACGTCTCTTAATATTTTGCTTGGAGTTCGAATCCCGTCGTGGACATGGATATTTGCTTTGAAGTTGTTTGTCCCAACTACTTCATTTTACTGCAATCCTTTCTCTTACTCCCCTTGTCGGAGTAGTTAGAGCGCCGACATGGACCTGCGGGTAAAACAAAATGGACGACCATCTGACATGAGCCTGGTGATAACATTAATCCATGCTAGGTGAGCTAGTGGTCGCCAGGTTGGTAAGCCCCTGCACTGAGTGTAGAAGCCACATAAAGAGTGACCGTTAGTGTTTCCTCTGGCACTGCTGGAACCGCGTTTCTGGGGTATAAAGGCCATTTGGGAGGATTAAACAGTGGGAAGTGTATGTGAGGAAAACTAAAGTCACGAAAACTGAAGATGTGTTAAAAAGGGACTTAAATTAGGAGAAATAAAAATATTAGTTAATGCGATTAGTTTCTAATGATAATCTTTATTGCATAAGTACATCTTTTGAAAACGACGTAGACGTTAGGAACGAGTTTTCAAATTTGTATTGCAATGCAAATGCAATAAAACTTTATAAACGAGTTGCATTGGCTTTTTTGTATACAAGCGTTATAAATTTTGTAAGAAAATCAAAATTAATTTTGCGAAACAACTTTCTTGGGACGTATTGGGTATTGACACCAGCGTGATTAAACGATGGTAGCCTGTTCCGTGTACCACATCTTCCCCATACTTCTCTCGCTGCGGTTGACCGAATATGTGATGACACAAACATTCGTGCCGAATATTGCTAATACGTCTTCATTTGGGCCGTAAAATGCCCGGTTATGAACGATTTCTTGCAACAGAAAAGGTCGTTTATAATGCTGGTGTACAAAAGAAGCTTTTGCATTAAACTTGACTTTGGCGCTTTTTATTTTTATTATATATTAATTATATCCTTTGTATCCTTTAATTACAATATCGGTAATAATAACGATAGTGTGAAACTGCCTATAGCTAAACTATGCGTATATCTCTGTGCGTGCAAATCAGAGATCATTCCTCCCCTGCAAAATGTGATGGAAATCGCGCAAAGAGAGAACGGAGAACGATACTGCCTTATTTAAAGCGCTTTGGAGCGAGGATAATACGCATCTCCGGCGACTGTGGCGCGCAGAGCGACATTTCACGGAACTTTCCCGCGCGACGGGGCCGATTTCCTTTGAGAAACAAACGTCTCTTGAGGCGGAGCACTCGGCCGAGACGCCGCTTGGCCCTGGAAGTGAGCAGCAAGAGTATTACGGCTCCTAATGAATTGGTTGATGAAGGCTCTCTTCGACCGGGGAAGTATGGTATGGAGCACGTTAGAAACAACTCAATGCAACGAATTGCTTTTTGAATCTTGGTACGATCCAGCCATTGCTCTTCGATTCTTTGTGAAATACCAGTAAAATAATCATTTCAAATTGAATTTTAATAAAACATAAAAGTTAATAAATAAAAGTAATGAGATCTGGTGGAAAGGAACAGCATGGTTTTGATATTTACTTTAGCCTTAATCCACAATTATAATTCATTTCTTCGTAGATTTTTACTACGTAGAAGACGGGTTTTCAGAGTGAAAACATCTTTAAATACACAGGCAGCCCGAGTTCTGATGCGACTTATATTTTTAATTTTCTACCACCACCCTGCTTGCGAATCATATCGTTATGAAGCTTGTAATTTTTAGTATTGCCGCTCAGAATTTCGCAGCGGCATTTTCCATAAGTCGTGCGTCATAACGCGAAAGGAACAGTAAAATGTTGAGGCTCGTAGAAAATTGCGATGAAACAGTAAGTCAACATCAAGTTATGTTTCCGATTGGGCAAGGCGGCGTCCAAAACGTACGATCTGACGGGTGCCTGCCATGGTTTGACAGATGTGTACATGGATAAAGTTCTTAAAAATTATATGGAATTAAAATTATATATATATATAAATATATATGTATATATGTATATGTATATATGTATATATATATATATATATATATATATATGTATAGTATATAATATATATAGTATATATATATATATATATATAGGTATATATATAAATTATTTTAATTTTTTTACTCCTCTATATTTGATTTTACCAACATAGTAATATACTGTTGCGTAAATGAAATAAAAATATATATTTTTGGCACCATTTAATTATCAGTATTGCTTTTTACTTGAATTAAAATTAAACTTTATTGAACAAATATGTGTAAGTTATGGGTAAATGCAGTGTGAAACCTCAAATTCCGTTACAAATTGCAAACTAAAATGAATTTTAAAAGTAAATAATTACTAACATTCGTTTTCAAATTCCATTTTTCTTTTTCCCGTTACTTTTTTTTCTATATTTCAAAAACAAAAAACGATTCGCCGGTCAAAAAATTGTAGTTTGCAAAGATCAGTTCCGATCTCCCTACATACACAAAAACTAGAGACATTTATTTTGAGACATCGCGAGCAGTCCATAGCCCATTTGTTAAAGTACTGTTCCGCCGTTCACCTGATTTGATCGAAGAAACCACGAAGGCGTCAGCGAGCGCATTGTTCCTCCATCTGCAGAAGAACGTCCGCAGTTTTAAACCCAAATCGCAGAGAGCGGCGCGCGGGAAGAGAGTGAAGTAGAGAGCGGGGGGGTGGGTGAGGCCATTCATCAGCGTCGTGCGGCTGATCGTCCTCTGTCACCGGGGACTAAGATGGCGCCGCCATCGATCCCCCCCCCCCCTCCCGACAGAGCACGCCGCGCGTCAGTTGCGCGTTTGCATCTCGACGCGCGAATCCCCAGCGCAGAGCGGTGCACTGGGCGCATTCAGAATAATTGCGAGTTTGAAACCTCATCCTTCTCATTTACGTGAAAATTTATATTTAAATGCGTTCAGCGTCACACTAAATATTTACCCATCGTGTGTTAAAAGCTCGCAACTTCATTCCCAAAAATAAGGGCACAAATAAGAGAAAGAAAGCAACAGGAAGAGATAGAACTACAAATAGTTGTTGGATATATGTAACCTTAAATATATCGAAAAACGGTGGTTGTAGGAAAAGATGTTTAGATCCAATTTTGTGGGAAATGCGTGTTTTGTGTTCTCTGCAAATCGTGTATGTAATGATTATTCTACATAAACTCTGAAGGAAGAGGAATATTTGTGAAAAAAGGATTTTTGAGATCCTTGACCTAATATTTTCGAACGCACACATATATCGATTCTCTTTTATTAAACGACATGAAAAATCTCTTGGCGAAATTTCACCTCAAATGGATTTTTCCACAGTTTTTCTCAAAGTTGACTAGAATAAATGGCCTTGGCGGTTTCCCTTGCTTCTTCAGAAAAGAATTAGGGACATGTCATGTGGGATGATGTTGCAGAAGTAAACTAGATAGATAGATAGATAGATAGATAGATAGATAGATAGATAGATAGATTTATTATTTCTGCAGGTAGGTTTATACAACCTGGTGACAGAACAATTCAATTTACATATTACAATTAGGAATATTAAAGCAAAGTAATTTTAAACTATTTTAAGACAATATTAATAATAATAATAATAATATAACAATAAAACCAATAATAACAATAGTAGCATTAACATTTTATGGCTGTCCTGCACAGATATTTTAACTAATAAACTCACTTTTTAAATACACTGTACTTCATTTCACTTCTCTCTCTACTTCTCTTCATAACATGTCACGACGCTCCTATTCAATTACTACTTTAAATATAATTGTATATTATACAATGCAATGTGTTTAATAGTAATTATCACAATAATAATAAAATAATAACTATTTTATTAATCCTAACTTATTAATAGATTCAGTTTACAAATATTAGTTAATATATTTTTAAACATTTTGTACACCTAGAGGAAAGGGTTCCATGACTGTCGCAGGCAACTTATTCCAGTCAGCTATCATTCTATTTATAAAGAAACATTTTCCTACGCCTTTTCTCTGTGGTCTGAACTGAAGTTTGTGCTCGTATTTGAGATCTCCTCTACTAAAGTAAGTGGGTTTATTGACTGTACATATCTTTCCAACCTGGATAACCTGCATGTTCTTTGTACAGAGCAATGAGTCTTGCCTTGACCCTCCTGATTTCTAGAGATTCCCATTCTACTTTCTTTCTATTCCTTCGGAAAGTACGTTTACCCGCTCCTCTCTGTACTCTCCTCAAATATTTCTTTTGTGAATTTCTAAAATGGTCTCAACATATCGCCCCATATTCCATTAATGGGCGAACTAGAGATAAGTAAGATAATTCTCCCGCTTTCGCTGTACTCTTTTAGTACTCGCATAGTAGACAGCAAAAAACTCCAGGTTTTCCCTACGACAAAGTTTACCAGATGATCCCAACTCTATTTACTATCAAAAATTATTACCAGGTGCTTACAAGTCAAGACTCTTGGAATATTTTCGTTGCCTAAACGGTATTGAGTTTCACTATATTTGCGGCCCCTACCAAACGTGATGGTTTTGCTTTTCGAACTATTTATTGTCATGCTATTTGTGTCAACCGAGAAATGTAGTCTATCTAGATCATCCTGCAAAATATCCTCGTCTACTTTTGATTGAATAACTCTATATATTATACAGACGTCTGCAAATAGTCTTGCCTTTGAAAATAAATTGTCTGGCAGATCTTGAGGAACAGGAGAGGTACGATACCACTTCCTTGAGGGATCCCTGAAGTTACTTTGCCAGAGTTGAAAATTGTTGTCCAACTCGGACTTTCTGTTTCCTATCCCGAAGAAGCTCATCAATCCACGCCACAACTCTGATGCCAATAACTGAATGCATTAATTTATGAACCAGTTTGTCGTGTAGGACAACATCAAATTCCTTCGCAAATTATGTTATTACGGCATCCACCCTGTCACTGCCATCAACTTCACCTTCATATACATGATGAACCTGTCAGACCGTTTATTATTATTCCGTTTATTATAGCTACATTTACTACGAATTAAAAGTAAAGTCAATGTGAATGAAAACGTAATTAATTAATAAATATGACATAGGTTTCTATTCGAAAAAAGGCATATTATTGCCAAATTAATAACTTTAATATTGTTTTCTAAATTAAGATTTTATCACCTGAACTTAGGGTATATCAATAATCCTTATTAGCTCCATGAAAGGTTTGCTGACGTACAAACTGTGTTAGGTATGATTAATTAACAGAAATATCGAAAAAAAATCGACTGTAAGAAAATTATTTAAGAAAACACGCATGTTACAATGACATTTCAATGACAACTTCATCGAAATATTTTCTGTCGAAATGAAACTGAAAAACAGAGATAAAATATGTTTTCCTTTACATTTACGTAACTTTAGTTCAAGACGTGTCTTTCTCTTCAATATTTTCAGTATGTTAACCAGTGGGTTCCAACAAACAATAATGCCAAGTTTCAAAACTCCCTGCGCTATACTTCGTTCGAGAGCTGGAATCACCTGTGTCAAGAGTTGAATCATTACTATTATTATTATTATTATTATTATTATTATTATTATTATTATTATTATTATTATTATTATTGTTGTTGTTGTTGTTATTTAGTAAGTTTGTCTTCCCTACTCCATAAATGAAATGACCCGCCTGTTGTGTCGGCAGGCCCTCGCGGCGCCGCAGGACGAGGACGCGCAGGCGCGGATGCTGTGGGAGAGCCAACTGGCGTGCCTCCTGCGCATCGCCGAAATGCAAACGAACGCCTCGGCCGAAGCACTGGGTACGTCTCCTCCGCTCCCCCTCCCCGCGGCGGCGGTTCGCGATGGTCGACGGTTCGGCCATGATTGATTACTAGTGATTCCGGGCGCGGCAACAGCCTGGGTCATTATTCCCGTAAGGGTAGTGCATGTTTCGTCAGGCTGTGGCAGTAACCGTGCTTTCATAGATGACGATATCCGGCGCCGACCTACCAGCGGCAAGCGGGGGTAGGTCCCCGACCTGTCTCCCGGCATGTGAGACAGCGTAGTGCATGCTCGTGTAAAAGTAATTTGCATAAGAATAGGGATAAGAGAAGGAATGGGAAGGAGAGATCGCGCGCGGTCCGTGGTCCGTCTGTTAGAGAACTGCTACGGCATTCGCCTGGTGTTGATCCAAGTAACCACAGAAAACTACAGATAATAGGAGCCGGCCGCTGGAATTCTCCTCCAGTCAGCCAAATAAGTCTACCTAGCAATTTCTCCAGATTCAATGGAAAAACACTCATTGTAATAGACACATAAATCGTATATAATAAAAATAGTTTCAATTTTAAATACATATTTATAATACTTTTTGGTAATAGTAAGACTAAACTATTTGGTTTGCAATTATTTTATAGATATACATGGATTTTTTTCTAATGTTTTATGACTTTTTTCTCCCCATCTTCGCACATGTCAGCAATTTAACAATTGCTTTTTTGAGTTTGTAGTTAAATAGCGACCTAATTCTATCTCACTCATTGCAGTTATTTAAGACAGTCTTTAAGACAGTTGACATCACTGTTAACTTGTAATTTAAGATGACAATCCTCTGCTAATGCTGAAGCTTCTGATTCGCTGCTGTCGATCCTACAGCACTGTCAATGACTGTCAACCACCATCTAACTTCATTCGTAGAAAAATCTATTAGTTTTAAGAGTATTATTGTATCATTTTGTTGAATTTTGTTTTTTATCATCCATTCGAAACATTTTATAGTGACCTGAACCGTTAGAAGTAAAATTGGCAATGAAATAGAGAAAAACGTTGTTATAAACATTAAACTTTCGCCATTTTAAATAGCAAAATCTTTGACATCAGTGTAATATTTATTATAAATAAGTTTTGAAAAATTGTATCTAACGATCGCTTTTGTAACCATACTAAGTAGTTTATTTTCCAGTTACAAATGGTAATGCAAGTTTAAACGTATTAATTTCTGATATTCACTTGAATTTATTGATTGATTGGACGTTTCGTCAACTGATAAGATTAGTCCCGTAAGTGTAGTGAATTACACTTGAACATGTCATTGCTTCATATTAAAGAACATTATCTATGACAGATCATGTAATAATAATTTTTGGATTTTCAATTTTTATGCACCCGTTGTTTTATTAAGCGTAGTTGACCAAGAGGTTCTAGGGTGTGAGGTAGCAGGATTTTCCACACTAGCTAGATAGCTAGGTCGAATTCTGCCGCTGTCTGGAGGAGAGTTTCAGTAGACGGCTCTAGCCGGGAGTTTTTAGTGGTTTCTCCAACCACTATCAAGCGAATGCCGGAGCTGTACCCTAAGAAATGCGCCACGGACCGCGTGCTTCTCCTTCCCTGTCCTATCGTCGCTCCGTAGACGACCTTGTACTTACATGGCCTACAGTGGCCCACACATGTCGGGAGACCGGTCGGGAGCTTATAGCTTGTCCCGAGTGGGGCGGTGCTCCTTTAGTGAAGATCATTGGAAAAGACAAACCGTGGAGGGTGACGTAGGGGTCGGGGTCGGATCTCGCTTTCCAGTGGAGTAGGAACACCGCCACCTCCACCTACATAACATGCACTACACTCACTGGACTAATGGCCGAAGTAGTTGACGTGCCCGGAAAATACACAGACCAGAACACTCTATCCATCAGAAAAGTGTTGAAGAACCAATTCAACTCTTCCTACCCTTAAATGAGGCCGAGAGTCTGGCCGCCTTCCCGCGAATGCTCGAAGGTGTTAACGTGGGAGGAGGCCGGCTGTGACGGGTGTTGTGGTGTGTCGGCAGGAAAATTCTGCCCGCCGGTGTGGGACGGCATCCTGTGCTGGGGCAGGGCGTCGCCAGGGCAGCTGCTCACCCAGCGCTGCCCCGCCTACATCATCGGCTTTCATTCGCAGGTGAGGCATGGGGAGGATGGCGTCTAGACTCACAAGGAGTTTGTTCATTACTACTTCTCTTGTGGTCTTTTTCTGTTTGTAGAATACAGCCGTCGGCGGCTCGTTGGTTGGCGGGCTCGCTTTCCATGGCGCAACGCCGCGTTCGATTCCCGGTCAGGGCAAAATTATAACTGAGCGCTTTCCTTACAAATGTCCCAGTATCTATTGCTAAGTGATGAGGCCCACCGTACGGTTAAGAAGACCATTATATATGGTAAACGGATGTCTTCGCGCTAACACCACGAACCCTTTATCCTATGTGAGCGACTTGGCCACATCTGATCGGCCAAAGCCCGAATCGGATTGTAGAGCCAAAGGATAGGACAGGTTGTAGAATTAATTGAGACTTGTTTATCATCTCTTAGGAATAAATAGAGGCAATATAGTTAATGCATGTAATTGAATCACAAAACTATTACAAGACGTTAAATGATGAACCTAGTATGCTGCATGAAAGCATAGTACATTGAATTCAAGAAACACAAATAACGTGATTTAACGTAAGCATGATATGTCGTAATTATTTGCAATGCATTTGAGTTTCACAGTTGGCATGAACAAAATGAGTAAAACAATTGTGACGGATTCACAGTAGAAGTTACACGTGGTTCTGCAAAAAGAACAGAAAGTTACGAGCGGCGATTGGAAGATGCGCCATGCGTGCTGATGCAGCGCGTAGATCGCCTCCAGATCCGTCCAGGCGTGCAGTGTCTTGTAGCGCCCAGGAGTTGAGGCACGACAAAGTAGGAAGCACACGTGCGAGTCGGGGCCACTTCCCGTTTGCGGTCTTTCCTTCGTCTTTATGCTTCGCATTTTCGTAACCTTTAGACACACATGTACACTACGCTTCAACACAAGCAGGGAGAACAGTAAGGAGCTTAGACATTTTTGTAGTTAGAAACAGTCAGAAGGTTTGACCTTTTCATGGTTAGAAACAGTTGGGAGCAGGACCGGCGATTGGTGCTAAGCCCAAGTGGGTAGTTGCCCGGGTGGGGGTCCCCCTCCCCTAGTTCATTTTGCGATGCAAAAACAGCGCAGCTCTTTGCATTTTTTAATAACCTCATTTAACTATATTTGCAAATCGATCTGATCGGCCATGTCCGTTTAAACATGCAAAATTGCAATACCGTTGCGCCGATCTGGCAAGATAATTGATCGTTTTGGGTCGACGAAACACCCAGAAACTTTGTTCGTTTTTGGAATTTCCCTTTTATGGAATATTTCTTTCACTCCAAATTCATTCATTTCTGGAACGTGACGTTTATAAAATATTTCTGTCAGCCTAAATTCCGGGTTGGTTTTTTACCCACTCCGAATTTTTCATGTGAATTTAGCTACCCATGAATCCCACATTATCCGAGCTCGGAAGATGACGTTCACCGAGTGAGGAACACTGACAGTGCTTGCCTATAACGCGCATCACTTTCACAGTGCGAACATTTGCCGGACGCGCGAGTAATTTTCCTCGTCGAATCAGACCGTGAAAAAAAAGTGGAAAGCGAGATAGTGCGATCGGTAGAATCGCCGAAGAGGGAAGGTGGCTCTTCACTTCTAGAAAGTTTAAATTGTATTCACAGTGTAGTATGTGCTGAAACTGCTCATAGTCAGCCCTGATGCATTCTTGATTTCTAAACAAGCTCTGGTTCTCTCACTAAAGGATGTCCCGTGCTACTGCAAAGATCTATTCTGTAAATTATGCCTTAATTCTTCTTCCGTCTGGAGATTTGTCGCATATATTCTGGAATCCTTATAGAAAGAAATCGCATGGAATTACATGAGGAGAGCCTGCGCCCACAGACCGTGTGAGATAATTATTTCTCCATAAACGGCATGTAAAGCCCTTACCGAAGTTAAAACAGTGTGTTCTGTTGCGGAGTCCGGTTGAAAATGACACTATTCATTTATCAACATTTAGAAAATAGGCTCCTGGATACAATCCACATAGTGGTTAGGCACATTTTTGGAACGTGTTGTACACAAACGCTTTCTGTTTGAGAGGACTTCGAGCGAGCCATCACAGAGGTACTACTCAACGAGACGAAAGCGAGCCTTTTGCAGGCCGAGACCTTGAAACCCTGCGTCCGCAACTTTCCCAAGGGAGTTCAGCGCATCGTTTCCCAGTGACTGACAGCCCCCGCGCCGAGTAGACGCTTCCACGATCGCGGCACACTAGTAAAATAGAAGTCGCACTGTAATTGGTATGCATCCCCCCCACTTAAAGCAGTTTTCCGTTTCAGTACAACGCGTCGCGGCTGTGCACGGATGCCGGGCAATGGTTCTCGCGCGATGGCAACCAGACGTGGACGAACTTCACGCAGTGCGCGCCCAGCCCCGAAGCCACCGTCCTCGTCAGCCTCGAGGACCAGTACGAGAAGCACATAGAGGTAGGTACGTGGCTCTCAACCGAGATCTCATGCAGAAACGACGGGGTCGCTCAACAATTACGTTCTGTGGAACTGGTTCGCTTGGGTGGGTCGTTGGTTAGCGTGCTCGCTTTCCACGGCGCAACCCCGGGTTCGATTCACTGTGAGGCGAATTCTAACTGTGAGCTTCCCTTACAAATGTGCCAGTATCTATTGTTGTGTAACTATGAGAAAGGCCACCTTAAGGTTTTGAAGACCAGTATATACGGTGGAGGGATGTCTTCGTGCTAACCACACGAACTCCTTATCCCATGTCCGGGAGGCTGGGACACCGCTGGTCGGCCAAGGCACTTTGCGTCTGTCGAGCTGTAGGACAGGACGGAACACTTATACAACAATAATGCACTGCTAAAACTATGACACCGGAAGTACACAGCAATTGAGTATATCAAAATGATATAGTTCTTTAGAAATACAAACCAATCCTCTTATGAATGAATGCATAAAACTAATAAAAATGTCGTCTTGTTCTGGATTGTTCGCAGCCTTACCTGCCCACGCTGAAGTGCATTTCTGAAGTGGGGCATACAGTGTCTCTGGTATCGCTAGTCGTTGCCTTTTTAATCCTCGTCTCATTCAAGTGAGTACGCCACAAACTTTTAAATCAATCAATTCTCTTTCGGTTTAATTGTCGGCCCAGCTTCACAAAGCTACAGCTTAAAATTCTAAGTTTTGCGGTATTGCTGTTTTAAAGTTTAATACCACTCTGAAAATGTCAGTTTACGTCACATGAATTTAAAATATATAATTTTGTACCGATTTGTCGAAAACTTTAAATTCATGATTAAACTGACAATTACAGAGAGATATTACATATTAAAATTCCAATATCTCAAAATATATAATTGTAAACTAGTAAAAATATATAATTAAACTAAAAATATATAATTCTAAACTTTAGAACTGGATCGCCGATATATAACGTAATAATTATTACGAAAAACTCCATTGTAACGGTAATAGATTTTTAGTCAAAAATGGACAGATTGTCATCCACCAATTTATGAGGGATGAGTGCTTTTCTTTGGCCTATCATGTATGAGTAAGTTCTGAATAATTTCAGATATTTACGTTTTTAAATCATTTTTTTAAATTAAAAGGAAACTATTGTTTTGTTAAATGAACGTAAGCAGTTCCTTCTGAATTTCTTGATATGTACTCTTTTAAGTACTTTTATTACTAATTTTAGGGAAGAACTTGTAATCTTTCGACAAATTTGGGGAAATAAATCCCAAGTGAAATTCTGTAAAACATTTCATATATTGAAGAATGATCAGATAAGAGTGTTTTATGTAATTTGTTCGCTAATTTAACAGGCATCAATAATAACATATTAATTGTGCAAAAATATTATGTAATCTGACACCCTAAAATGCCTCGCTAATCGCATAAAAGCAATTCAATAAGGGTTGCTTTCACACTGTGACAGCAACCTCAGCGACTTTGTTGAAAAGAAGAGGTGACAAGTAGTTTGAAGGTAGCTTACAGTAGTTTACAGAATACAAAGTTACTATAATATTCTAATAGAAGGAAATGGTTCCTCTCGAAGACAGTTGTCCACATATGTTCATAGAACTTTTATTCTCTCATTTACACTCAGGAATTGCCCCCTAAGTTTGTGGAATGAATACATCTGAATTTGTTAAATATTATAAACAATTAATACCCTATTTATTGACTTGCATTAAGCGTTGATAGGTTGTGAAAATGTATTCATTTTCAGTTAAAATTAAAATATTGTCTCCCACAAATAAATAAAACGTGGCTATTTTATTTAACTCCAGTACTCTTTAAGATTGTCCAGTGTCTTAATATCACCATTAGCTATAAAACTAGGAATTTATTTTATAGTCCTATGGATCCCAATGATACCTTATAATTTGAAGCTAATATTTCCCAACAGGTAACTTCACACACGTACTTCAATTGTATCATTCATGTTTATTTATTGCGCCCCTCCGTGGGAGAGTAGTTGTGAATTGTTGCGCTCCCTGTCACCAAGGGAGTCAAAATCAGTTGACAACGAGACCTGTAGGAGGTCGATAAAAATATCTCAGTAATTTCCAACCGTGGTGTCAAGTGTGACTTAAATAAGAAAAGTAGATCTGAGGATGTTTTCAGGACGTTGTGTTTCATATCCAGTGATCACATCTTTCATCATGAAAAGTCCCAGATTAGCAATTTACCTTCAAAATACCTCCACATTCAGGAGAAAGTAAGTAAGTACGCCTGATGCTGTGTACATTGCCCATGCAACATGCTGTAATTGGTCAAATTTGCGTTTCTATGTTGCAAAGTCTCAGAATATCTTTTACGCCATCATCATTGTAAATCCTCGCCGAATAGGAATTGAGGATGCTCTGTTGCTGTTCGCAGGAACCTGCACTGCCCTCGGAATGTGCTGCACGTGCACCTGTTCGCGTCGTTATACTGCGAAGTTTTAGAATATCGCTCACCCAAGCACAGCTGTGTCTCTCGTCAGGTGAAAGAAAGGGAATGTGTTTGATGCTTTTGCAGGAAGCTGCGCTGCCCTCGGAATGTGCTGCACATGCACCTGTTCGCGTCGTTCATCATGCGCGCCTTCATGTCGCTGCTCAAGGACTCGCTGTTCGTGCAGGGCCTCGGCATGACCACCAACTTGCTCATGAAGGAGGAAGGTGACTACTTCCACAGTGAACACCAGGTGATGAAACTCTTTTAACGAAAAGTACATTGCGAATTAATAATTATACATGTGGCATACTGTTGCAAGAATAACTAAATGCTGTTACGTAAGAAGTTAATTCCTACTTGATGTTTTTGGTTTTGAACAGGACGATTTGTTTTACTTACATTTGTATTTCATAAATATCTTCTGAATATATTGATAAAATGTTCTCTTCTGCTTTAAATCTCCAGCATATTATCTTAAGAATTTTTTATCAATGAGATATATGTTGTTTTTGATGTTGAGATATTTATATTGAAAAGCCCACAACTTTGACATTCCGTAAAACGGTACCTTACCCTTTTTATTACGTTTTAAGATAAAGAAAATTTACACTTATTGTTACACACTCTGGTATCGCGACCTGATAATTTCTGTTAGTTAGTAGGATTAAGGAATTAACGAAATACGTTAAACCAAGAAGTCTCTGGTTATTCAATAATTGTTATACCTCTATTTTGATAAAAAATTTATCTTGGGTACTGCTCCGTGTCATTTATATACACATATCTCATAATTAATGCTACAAACTTTTAGGACATGCAGTGCGGTCGGAGATTATACCTTTTAGCCAGTAAACATGTTCGTATTTGGCATTTTAGAGAGTGGTTAATCCGAACCCCATTATATTAAAAATTAACTGGAATTAATTAAGTGTTTAAAGCACATTTCAAATGCGTGATTAAAGTCTTTTAGACTACTTCAAGAATTTTTATTACACTTGATTATTTCCAATGAGAATTTTCCGGTAATTTATACCTTATGTACTGAATATTTCTCTTCCCTGTAATTTGGTGCTTATGGAGCCCATGCAAAATACGCCAAGTAATTTTTAATGTTTGTTTATAGTTTTACTTTCTCGCCATACTTGTTATGAAGAGAAAGTATTGTAATCGAGCACTGGAAAGTGGTGAATTTTCATGGAAAACCATATATTTGTGTACAAAGTTTGTACTCGTACATTCGTAAGCAACACTTGGGCCCAATATCTGCGTGTGTAATGTAAATCAGCATAATATAAATAAGCTTGGGCTGAAGTAATACGGTTCAATAGGTTATGATAATTTATTTCTCGATGAAAAAATTAATTTTGTGTTACAAATTTCAAAATATAGGTCATTAATAGAAAGCGAATTTAATGTTTTAAAATAAGCGCTTTTGGTATAAAATAAAATTTCAGCCCCTCCGTTAGGCTTTGAAGCGAAAGCCGCCGAAAGCGCCGAAATTACAAGTGAAGAACGTGTTCTTGCCGGTCTCTGGTAACAAATGTGGGTAAATCTTGTTTTTATACAATATAGTAAATTTCTTCCTCTAACACGTGTTATTATAATCCATGATTCGTGGGTCCTTGATAACAAAAATTGTTTGACTGCAAAACGTCTGTCACTGTTTCACTGGCTGACTATCTCGTCTATCTCTGTCTCTGAAGGTCTCTGTCTGGCTCTCTCTGTGTGTATCCGTCTGATTCTGTATGTTTGTTTCTCTCTATCGGCTCTGTCTCTTTGTCTGGCCATGTCTGTGACTAGTCAACGCTAGCGCTTAAACCGTTCGGCCGATTTCCTCTAAAATTGATATTGCTAGGTCGATTTAAATAAACTCGTAGCCCTTTGAGTGTGAAATGGATAAAACAAATTTGGGTGGTAATTTACATAATGCCTCAACATTTTCAGAAATTTCTCAGAAATGGAACTTTTTTTAAAAATTTACTTTGTTCTTGAATAGTATAAACGATGCATATAATAATAGTGCAGGTCGCATTTTCTTTAAAATCCTTGGTTTTTTAAAATTATAAAAGTTTTCCGCGTCTTCCTACACCTACTATGTTGAAGGTAAAGATTTTTTTCCCTCGGTGAAATCTGTTCTTTAAAGAGTGTTCTTGAAATAAGGTAGTGTACAATTTTTCGAAAATATGAGTAGTTTTTGCATAATTGTACGCAATATGCAATAAAAAATACAAGCAATTTTGAAACATTATTTTCTCAAAACTGCTCCGATTTTTTTCCATAAATGTCTTTCTCATATGTATCAAATAACGGTGAAAATGGTGCTAGCTCGATTTCCGACAAACTATTTTTTTATTTGTAAAAAAATAACTGTGCAAATCAACAATTTTCAACATAAAGATGTTTGTTTTCAATGATATATCTTCTAAAAATCATACCTTTAAAAGTCATTTAAAATGGTTTTCAAAAATAAATTATTTTGCGCAATTTATGCTTAAAACTAATACAAACTTAAAAAACGTTTTATCAAAACCGCTCGAATTTGTTCTTCAAATTTTTACAATAGCTAGAACAAGAAATGGTTAAAAGAACGGCGCAGGCTACATTTTCGTTGAAATCTTTGAATTTTCGAAAATTTAATATATAAAGAAAACGAGAAAGTATGTGCTGGTGTAGTGGATTCACTATCAGCACACACCACAAACAATCGAAACGCATTATTGCGAGAGCTAAAACCCCGTCGTTCGGTACTGTACTGTCGAGGACTACGTGGCCACTGAACACAAAGGTAGTTGACGAGACCCACTGGTACCTTATGAGAAGAACTTGCAGAGTGAACTTTGACTTGACCATTTAGTTGATTATTAATCATAGAAAGAGAGAGTTTTTCAAATAGACTGATAATTTCTCATTCAATCTCTTGTAGTTTAAAACATATTTGTAGAATTACTACTGCACATATGTTAATAGCGGTCAGAGGAATTTTGTTAGTCAGATATTTACTAAATTGTCCTTTCTAAGTTTGTGTTGGTATATCGAATGGCGCTGAGTGCAGGTGGATTAACATGCCCCCAATAATGTTTGAATTGTTGAAGATGTTGAGATCAGTTGGAATTTAAGGTAATTAATGCAATAAACATGAAGGAAATTACTGTTTCCCGTAATACTTCATATTACTGAGATGTTAATGTCACTAGAATGTTGAAAATTCAACTCCATCATATTTATTTCAAATGAGAAAATGTGTAGAAACAATGTTTTTAAAAATGAACAAAAGTTATATAATAGCTTCTTAGACTAACGTTTCATATCCTGTCCTGACTTTTTCAGTTGTTCTCCTGTACTGCACAAACCATTCATAATAGTGTATATTGTATATTGATAATAGTGTAGTAATATATTTCATTCAATAATGTGTTATTACCATTCTTGTAGGTCCGATCACTGTGAGTGGGACGACTTCAACCAATTCCTGTTTGATAATGCTAAAATATATTATTTAATAACTTGTTGCTGACATATTTATCCTCTTCTAAATTTGCAGACGAACTGGCCATGCAGAATGTTCACTAGCCTTTGGCAGTATTGTATCATGGCAAACTACTCGTGGATTTTAATGGAGGGGTTGTACCTTCACAACCTTATATTTATGGCACTCTTCACTGATTCAAGTTCCATAACACTGTATATTGCTCTTGGCTGGGGTACGTATTTGTTACATTCGTAATGCACGGAAATAACATCAGTTCTGTGTTTGCAAAGCAATGTAAACGATAGCTTAACTTATTTGGCGGCATTGAACTACAATGTTCTGGCATGGTTTGTCTCAGTTGACTGTAGCTCCTCACTAACTTACAGGTTTACCAGCCATATTCGTGTTGCCGTGGACGCTGTGCAGAACAATTTTAGAAAACACTTGGTGCTGGACAACGAACGACAACACCGTTGTGTTCCTTCTCATTCGAGTTCCGATCATCGCTTCCGTTGTGGTAAGTTTCACCCGCTGAATCTTTTATTTGTCCGTAATTTCTTATTTGGGTCATTTTCAAACGCTGAATCGAGAGATTATATCGTATTTCATGACATATAGAATCCAAGTACACAAAGAGTCGCGGTATTAGTGTGAATAGAGTAATGAAAAATCTAGTCACGAAAACGTTTGTAGTGCTTCTTATTAACCGAAGCTTCATGAACCATTTGTTTCTAGTATCATATTCCGATGATGGTAGATTTTTGACTCCAACAAATATGCAGACAATCCACACCACTGTTTGGTTAAGAATTCCATAGAATGATACACCCGATCCAGGCCTGTCCATGTGCCGGATTCAGGTCATTCTGGCCCAGAAGATCCCCGGTGCTTCGCCAAGCTCACGACCTTTCCCCTCCTCCTTCTCACTGCGGGCGGACCTCCTCGCACATGCACGTGGACATCGCATCCTTCTAGTGCCATTTTCTTCGCTTTTGTTACGTTTTCGATTGAGGTTGTTGTTATTAACATTGTTACATAATTTGACAGATTCTCATCTGAAAACAGTTTGCGTAGCATGGGAAGAATTTCATCCAAATAAAGTAAAGCTTCAAACTGCTGCAGATATTGTTGCAAAACAAAAAAACAAAACACTTCTGTTGCGATTTGAAGTGCGCTCGCTTCTGCCCCCCGAGAACAGGCTGAAAGAGCCTGGACTGGAACTCCTGCGAACGATAATAACAAGGATCGTTACTTCTCTCGCGTACATTATCTGGTAGTTATTATTGCTCGTATTATTTCAATATGAATCAGGCGCTTTTTATTAGTTCCCCGGACAGTTGAGAGTACAGTTTGAAAAGAGTAATATCTCTGATGTAAATGCAATGACGCGGAGGTCCTACATTCAAATCCCGACTCTGGCAGTAATTTCTGCACAAGCCAAATAGCTAGGTCGCATTCAGTTGCTGTCTGGAGGAGAATTCTAGTGGCCGGCTGCTCTGATCGATAGTTTTCATTTGTTTCTCGCGTCAACATCAGGCGAATGTCCGAGCAGTACCCTCACCAACGGCCCGAATATCGCGCGCGATCTTTCCTTCCTCTTCCTTGAGTTATCCTTTCTCCCTACTTACCCACACACACACACACACACTTACATACACTACACTATCACAAATGCCGGCAGACGTGTCGGAAGCAGAGAGCTTGTCCTCGTTGAGGTGGAACCCTTCTGGTGGGAGACACCTGGTTGTGGGCGCCCCACTAGCCGACGAGAGATCGGCGCCGGATCTAACCATCCAGAGGGGGAAGGCCGCCGACACCGCCCGAGGAAACATGTACCACACTTACGGGACTAATTACTTGTCTGTTGACGCGGCCTGAATCGCTAATCAATCACTCAACGGACGTCATCAAAGCCCTCTACGAACCTACTCAACCCAAAACTGAGCTTTAAGTATTGCGCGTGTTTCTGGTAGACATACTGTGTGCCCGCGGCTGCTCTGGGTGTTAACGTTCGACCCTCTGGTTTACGCGAGTCTCATCTTATGGCGTCACCTTGTTTCTTCACGCGAATCCAGGCTGATGTCGCAACAGTTCTTCAAACTCTATCCCTTCCCTGTTTCCTTAATGCCTTCCTGTCTTAGTCATTACGTCTCCATTCAATTCCTCAAAGCCGGCGATGGAATAATCCTCCATAATGAATTGTTCATTTTTCATGATCAAAATACTCTAAAAAGTGGAGATTTATTATTTCATTATGTTAAATTGCATGGTACGTTGACATTATTAATTACATATTCATAAAATTAATATACTTATGTTTGATTTGTTAAACATTTAATTAAGAAGTTATCTCATATTTAAATACAACATGGTATTTAAATCATTTTGTAAATATCATTATGTCACTACAGAGGTAATTATTTACTTACAAGAAGAACATATTACTTAACAAAAAAGAAGGAAAAGTCACACAAAATAATTCGTAATGTTTCTCCAATAAATTAGCTTTTATGAAATAAAATTGTTCCACTATCAATTTAACATACGGCGATTATCGTCATGATGCCATTTCACCAAAGAATAGAACATTGCTGGCAAGCGATGTAGAGTCTCAGATGGATTTCATTGCACGATACCTGTTGAAGTAAAACATAAATATAAATAAAACAAATATATTTCACAAGATATGTTTCCCTTGCAGGTGAATTTTGTGCTATTTATTAACATAGTACGAGTTTTATTGCTCAAAATTAAGTCCTCTGTCTGTGAAGAAAATAAAACGTACAGGTTTGTAATTATATTTTTCCTTTTTATTTATGAATATATATTACACAATACATATACACATGGTGCTTCAAATCAAGTGACCAGCCAACCAAGATTTTATTTTTCTTTTAAGTAGGAATTGTAACTATACATCATTAATATTATATTGCCTTTTTTTAATTTTGGTACAAATTTCGCAGTATTCAAGTGAAAAGCAGTTGATTTATACTTTGCACTGAGATGAAAGATATGTCTAGAACCTAACACAATGACTGAAACATATCGATCAATGGCGGAATTTATTTTCTTTTATCCTATTTCGTTTAAGTTTTTTTGATAACCAGTTAAGCTGAAAATTCTGTGATTTCGTGAATATGTGTGTGTTCTTGTAATGATACGTCAGTGCTATTTTGTTTTTTTTCTAGGAATTCAGACTTATCTTCTTTGAAGTGCAAGAACGCTGTTTTGTAATTATTCCAATCAACTATTTGAAACTTAAATGAGTCATTCTTTCTATCGAAGTCTCCGTTATCATTCAAATTCATATCGATTATATTGTCAATCAGAATTTCAGTGACAAACATTTCTTCTAATTAGGTCGCAATTCGAGATCAAAGTTCGCAAGTTTACTCCATAAAATAATGAAAAATTAGCATTATATTACTTTTAAATTCATACACAGTGTCCACAAGATTATCTGATTCTTTTAAACTTCATTCTGATAACTTCTTAGACGTTCTTTTGGATTAATTAGGAACATAAAAAAATATTCGGAGTTCTTTTCTTTATTTCTGGATGAGACAATGATTATTGCTTCCACTATCTTCCTTATTCCGTGTTTCGTAAGGCTATGCAAAATTACATCAAAACATGTCGCACATTCTTGAAATAAAGCAGTTCTTTCGGTCTGGTTCCAAAGGTTCTGTTCAAATGCTGGTTGCTTTTTTTCAAGCACTCTGTAAACTCGTTATATTTATTGCATTGCACTCGTTATATTTAATTGTAATTTATTTTTCAGAAAGTGGGCGAAATCTACGTTGGTTTTAGTTCCTCTCTTTGGAGTGCACTATATGATATTTCTTGGTCTTCATTTAAGTACAGATACTACAGTTGAAATTGTTTGGCTGTTCTGTGATCAACTTTTTGCATCGTTCAACGTAAGTTTTCTTTTAATTTAAGTTAGTTTTCTAAAGTGAATTGGCACAAAATGTTTGAATTTGTTCACGCTGTACAGCTACAGCAAAACAGCTATTTAAGAAATCATTTTGAAGTGTTCAGTTTATTATTGATTAACATTTATTTTAAATAATGTATTAAATTATTAGTTTAATTTACTTTCTGTTAGTTTAATGCAATGCATGATTAAAATGACGCAGTGTTGTTAACTGCAAATTTAGAGAATATATTGTACATATTAGAATTCATATAATTCAGAAGAAGCCCGAGTATTTATAATAGGACACATTCAAATTGTTGTAGCATTAGCATTGATGTTCTTTTGTTAATTACTAGTAAATAAATAATAAATAAAAAATAAATAGTATTAGCTGATAGTTTAACAATAGAAACATTGTAAATATTCGTTGAATAAAAAAATTACATTCTCCGGTTTATCGTTACATCATCCGTCCTTTAGTCGAACTGCTACCTCCAGAACCTATAGAACATGCACTACACGTACGGGACTAACGATCATTATCGTTGACGCATCGCCAAACAACGTAATCAATCTCAAACCTTTTTATGAGTCTTCTCTACCGGCTGATGGCTCAGGACACGTGATGTCACTGCATTGTCGCCTCTGTTCGAGAGTTATTAGGTTTCGAATTCCGACGGTCACTGGATGTTCGAGAACAGCTGTATAGCTAGGACGAATTTAGCAGCTGCAGAGGAGAATTTTAGCCCCTGTCTACTCTTATCCTTAGTTTTTCGTGGTTTCTACGACCAATCTCAGGCGAATGCTGGAATAGTACGCTAACAAACGCACTTCGAACCGCGCGCGATCTTCCCTACCTCTTCCTTTTCCCATCCTGACCCTTACACATACGCGCACACTAACATACACCACACTACCACACATGACGGGAGATCGGTCGGGCGCTTGAAGCTTGTCCCAGCTGGGTCTATGCCCAATTGTTCGAGAATCCGTCTTTCCTACGACTAGGTCGGCGCCTAATCTCTCTACAGCAGCGAGAGATCGCCTCGTCCCATTATTAAACATGCGAGACCAAAGACCTTATCTACCAACACGCCTAGAATCACTAATCAATAACACGCCAAACAACAAAAGCCGTGAGCGGCGTCAGTGTGCCTGGTTGTGTGCGCAGGGCTTCTTCCTGGCGCTGCTGTACTGTTTCCTGAACGGGGAGGTTCGCGCGGAGGCGGCGCGCGCGTGGGGCCGCTGGGCGTGCGCGCACGCGCTGGACAAGTGGCACGCGCCCGGAGCGCGCGGCCTCTTCACGCGGCGCGGGCGGCCCCCGCGGCTGGCGCGCAGGGCGTCGGGCTACTCGGGCACCTGCACCACCGACGGCTCCGCGCCCGCCTCCTCCTGCAAGAAGCGGCTGGCCACGGCCACCGGCGCCGACGTAAGCACGCGCGCTTTACCCCTACGCTCAAAAGTGGAACGCGACTAGTCGCCTGGAGGGCAATTGTAATATATCCATTGAAAATTGTGGTTAATAAGAGGCCAACACAAAGGGTTGGAGGTAATTATAGACGTTGGGAATTAAGCCCTGGCTCTCGAGATTGGAACGCATTTAGACGCGTGGATTACAATTGCAAGCCATTAAAAATTCGTAAAACCAATGGGTTTAAACGACAGGGGTGAGAGTTATCATAACACGTCGGAAATTTAGGCTTTGCGTGTAAAATTGGAACGCGTCTGGACGCGTGGATTACAATTGTATGACATTAAAACTTATTAAAATAGGTTAACACGGGGGTGGAAGTAATCATACAGGTCGTAAAATTAGCCGTTGCGCTCAAAATAGGAAGGCGTATGGTACTCGACTACAAGTAAAAGCCAGTAAAAATTCTCATTACAATGAGTTAACTCGACAGGGGTGGAGGTTATCATACACATCGGGAATTTAGACTTTGCGCTTAAAATTGGAACATGTATGGACGCGTTAATTACTATTATAAGACAATAGAAATACTTATTATCAATAGTTTAATTCCAAAGGCGTAGATATAATACTCGTAATAAACGTAGGGATTTTTGCCTTTGCGCTAAAAATTTTTACACTTGAATTACAATTGTATGCAATTAAAATAATTTATTACCAATAGCTAAAGAAACACGACAGTAGCTGAAATAACAATACATACCGGGGTATTAGCCCTTGAGCTCTAAATTAGGTGTATGGTCACCTGGATTACAATAGTAAGCCACTACTAATTCTCATTAACAATGGGTTAAGTCGAGAAGGATGGAGGTTATCCTACACGTCAAGACTTAAGACTTGCGCTCCAAATTAAAACGGGTGTAAACGCGGGGCTTACGATTGTAACCCATTAACAATTCTGAATAACAATACGTTAATACGACACGCGTGGATGTATTCGTACACGTAGGGACATTTTGCCCTCGTGTTCAAAATTGGAAAGCGTTTATTCACTTAGATTACAATTGTATGCTATTAAAAGTTCATATAATAAATACCTTAACACGGCAGCAGCGTAAGTAATAATTCAGGTTTGGTCATTACGTTTACGTTCCAAATTAGAAAATGTAAGGTTTAATAATTACGGGGATTACGATTGTAAGCCATTAATAATTCTCATTAACAATGGGTTTACAGGACAGGAGTTGATGTTATTCCGCAAGTTGGTACATTAAGACTTGCACTTAAAATTAGAACAACAGACCTTGAGCTCTAAATTTGAAGGTGAATGGTCGCGAAGATTACATATGTATGACAGTAATACTTCACATTAAAAACGGTTATGATGACAGGGGTAAAGGCTATCATATACATCGGGACCATAGCCATTGCGCTTAAAATCGGAACTGGTTTAAACACGTGCATTACCATTGAAGGCAATTACAAATTTCTATTAAAATAGGTTAAAACAGCAGGAGTAAAGTAATTATAACGGCTGGGACATTAGCCATTGCGCTCAAAATTAGAAGGGGTTTGTTCGCGTGGATTACAATTCTATGCCGGCAATAGTTCTCATTCACCTACGGTTAACACAACCAGCGTCAAGGTTATCATAAACATCGGGACATTAGCCTTTGCGCTTAAAATAAAAACAAGTGTAAAATCGGTGGATTACAATTTTAAGCCAAAAAAAGTCTTATTATTATAATGTTAACGACAGGAGTGGACGTAAACGTACGTACAGCGAATTTCGCACTTCCGTTTATAATTAGAACGGGTAAGGTCGTCTGGATTACTATTGTATGCCAGTAATAGTTATCATTAACCAACGAGTAACACGACAGAAGTGAACGTTATAAAAAAAAATTCGGACGTTGGCCTTCGCGCTTAAAATAAGAACAAGTGTAAAAACGGTGGATAGCTATTGTAAGCCAATAATACATTTTTTATCATTATGTTAACGACAGGAGTGGAAGTAAACGTACGTACAGCGACTTTAGCTCTTCCGTTTATAATTTGAAAGTGTGTGGTCGCCTCGATTACAATTCTACGCCAGTAATAGTTCTCATTAACCAACGAATCACACGACAGAGGTTATGGTTATCATAAACATCGGGATATTAGCCATTGCGCTTAAAATACAAAAAGTGTAAAAACGGTGGATTACTATTGTAAGCCAATAAAATTTTATTATCATTCTGTTAATGAAAGGAGTGGAGGTAAACGAACCTACAGGGAATTTACGTACTTACAGCGAATTAAGCTCTTCCGTTTATAATTCGAAGGGGTGTGGTCGCCTGGATTACTATGGTACGCCAGTAATAGTTCTCAATAACAGACGGGTAACACGACAGAAGTGAAGGTTATCATAAACATCGGAACATTGGGGCCTTTGGGATTAAAAGAAGAATAAGTGTAAAAACGGTGGATTACTATTGTAAGCCAATAAAAATTCTTATTACCATTATGTTAATGACAGGAGTGGAAGTAAACGTACAGCGAATTTAGCTCTTCCGGTTATAATTACAAGGAGTGTGGTCGCCTGGATTACTATTGTATGCCAATAATAGTTCTTAACAGAAGAGTAACACGACAGAAGTTAGTTAAGGTTTTTATAAACATCGGGACATTAGCCCTTTTGCTTAAAATAAGAACAAGTGTAAAAACGGTGGATTACTTTTGTAATTCAGTAAAAATTTTTATTATCATTATATTAATGACAGGAGTGGAGGTAAACGTACCTACAGGGAATTTAGCTCTTCCGTTTATATTTTAAAAGGGTGTGGTCACTCGAATTACTATTGTATGCCAGTAATAGTTCTCATTAACAGATGGGTAACACGATAGAAGAGACGTTTATCATCAACATTGTGAATATAGCGTTTGCGCTTAAAAAAAGAACAAGTGTAAAACGGTGGATTACTATTGTAAGCCAATAAAAAGTCTTATTATCATTATGTTAATAACACGAGTGGAAGTAAACGTGCAGCGAATTTAGCTCTTCCGTTTATAACTAGAAGGGGTGTGCTCGCCTGGATTACTATTGTATGCCAGTAATAGTTCTAATTAACAGACGGGTAACACGATAGAAGAGAAGTTTATCATAAACATCCTGACAATAATTTTGCGCTTAAAATAAGAATAAGCGTAAAACGGTGGATTACTATTGTAAGCCAATAAAAGTTCTTATTATCATAAAGAAATGACAGGAGTGGAAGTAAACGTTCTTTCAGCGAATTTAGCTCCTTCGTTTATAATTAGAAGGGGTGTGGTCGCCTGGATTACAATTGTATGCCAGTAATAGTTTTCATTAACCAACCAGTAACACAAAAATGTTACAGTAGTTGACTGTAAATTGCAGGTCGAAAGTTAGGGACGAACTTACAAATAATAACAGTTTTTTGTAGTTGACAGAGGAGGGGGGGTGAACCTATAATGCCAACTATTCAATTTATTTTATTTTCAGATATTGTATACGCCATTGTAAGTATTTGTGAACATATATGATTCTTGAGTCTGATCGGTCGTTATATATAGTCTTTCTGAAAATAATTCTTGTATCTTTATTAGGTGCTATACCCTCAATTTATGAATTCTCAAAGTTAATTTTATGATTACTGTGAAGTCTGCGCAAGTTACGGAATCACATGCCTCACACTTTACAGGATTAATGACCTTAGCAGTTTAGGGAGATATAACCAAAAGAGAGAGAATTTCTATGTTTTTTGCATATTTTTCTCCGCTGCTTCCTGGCATAGCTCAATGAAATTTCTTTATATTTGGTTAGAATTGGATGCTATGTCAATTAATGTTAGTGCATATTTAAGCTTATGTGGCCGATATTTTTGTGTTGGTGCATATTCGCATAAATATAAGAGCATTTTTTGCATATTTTGTTAAAATTATGACATCTCTAAAACGTTAAATTTTTTCAGAGAATCTATTCATTTGCTAGTGTTAATTAATTAGAAATAACTTGTCACAGTTGGCCTTTTTTCTATAAGTGATAAAATACTTGTCCAAATGAAGAATATTACATGATATCATGTTTTTTAAACCAGACATTAGAAATGCAACAAGACATACTACTAAGGTGAAATTTTACGACAATTATTTTTACCAAAAAGTAAGGTAGATTATATTATGTTTGCACAAAAATGTGTGTATTCATTTCAAGCACGTTGCTTCTGAATGTTTATGAAGAGAGGTTTGTACAGGAAATGAAATATTGTTGATCTTTGAGCTCGGTGAATAAACTGATAATCAATGGATACTTAAATTTTACAGGAGAGCAAAATAAACAACTTTCAGCTAATGCGAAACCTACACACAAGGATTAAAAAATACAATTTGAATTTTAGATTGCTAATAATTAAATCCGTTAGCATTTCACCACACTAACACATATCACAATAAATTGCCTTTACTTTAAAACTTTTCATGTTACATTTGAATATCATTAATCCGTGATTTACTTTAGTTGAAAGATTTTTTTTCTCTCCTGTAAAATGGAATCATCCATGGCTTATCGGCTTGTTCACCGGGGTCAGCGATGTATTGGAGTGCATATTTAAGATGTTTAGGTGATAAAAATCGCTCCTCCTACTGAGCCAATCGCTGCGTCCCAGGTGGAGCCGGCGGCGGCGGCGGCGGGCGGGCGGGCGGCGGGCGCGGCGGGCATGGCGCCGCGCGGCGCTGCACGGCTCCTACCACTGCGCCGACGCCGACGCCGACCACCAGCGCTGCTCGGGCGTCGTGTAGAGGGCTCGGGCGCGATCGGCTCTAGTCGGTTGAAAGGCGAGTGGCACGCGAGCCACAGTCTGTCACGACTTCTTGGATTCGAGTGAGCAGCTGCACTCTAGGAGGAGGCATGCCCTGGCCCCGCCCTTATCTGCGAACCTCGTTCCTAAATTTGCCGAAACCGATTAGTCAGAGCTGTACGCCACGCGCGCGCTGGTTCGGTGTGGCTTGGACGACCGGGAGCGGACGGACGTTTTGTGTGGTCGCGCGCCCTTCGCCGGGACGAAACGGACACTTCTGGCAGTTTCTGAGTCAGCTTGGCCCCTCGCTCCACGCCTTGTATTGCGCGTGACGGCTGCATAATTTAAGTGAA